GACAAGCCTCTTGTATCTTATGCAGGCTGCCTGTCCTTAGGGTGGGTACCACTCACACTCCCTTAATCCTAGTGTTGCACCATGAGTCAATCTCAGTGTCACACATTGTAGATCCCGTCACCTCTGAAAAGCTCCACCTGTGACCATATGAGGCTTTGGGAGAAAATCTAAACACAACCCCATAACACTTTTGGAAGTCACATCTCTAGTGACCCATTTACAACCAGGCCTCCTAAAGACATAATCAGCTATTGATTCATCGGTGGATGAATACATTCCCTCTAGCTTGTGCCACCACTGGTACATACATGACTGTTCTATCAGGTGGCATGGGATAGTCCTGCATGTTCACTCATGATACAAGCTGCCTGATGGAACAGTCATGCATGGACAGATGGAACAGTCATGCATGGACAGCCCCATCATGAGTGTGTCTATCTACTGAATAGTGTTCTCATGGTCCCTTCCGCCACTGATCTCATGGTCTTTGGGGAGAATATTTTAGGTCTAATCCATAACATTCACTCCATCAGTACTGTTTTATACGATCTCTTGTTTCAGTAATGCCTTTCCTTGGAATATTAAATATCTTGTTCTGGTTCTCTATTTTCTCACCATTTTCATATTCCTGTTTTTCATCTCTTTTTGGGAACTGCCCTGTACAGACCTTCCTCTTACAAGTTTTTAATTGAACTTTCTTGATGTTTAAATGTTTTCTGACCATTCCTTTTAGTAGCGCCTTGTTCTTATTTTACAGCTGCAAAGTGTCTTTCTGGGACCATCAATACAATTCTTTTGAAGTTCTTTCTTCTGAGTTACTTTTAATTTTTGTGTTTTGTTTAATTTCATTGGAGATTTTCAAAGCTATGTAATTAGCTTTGCCTGTCTATAGATATCTAAGAGACATTCTTAAATGTACGTGGGTGGAGCTTGTTCCTGTAACTCATACTTGAGTGATAGGATAGCAAGGTGGACTATTACTAGGGAACCCCCAAATGTCACTTTCTTATAGCAGTTGTCTTAGGTCATTCCATTTTGTCCAGATGTGACTTCAATAGTCTCCTGCCCTACAATATGGAAATAAGAAATAGAGGCAGAAAGGCAGCCTCTGTCCACCTTTCCCTGTGCCAAACTTCTTGGTCTGCTTAATGTCTCCAGAAAACAACCTCCAAGTATGCTACCAGAAAGGAAGCAGTAATGAAATGATTGGTTGTCTGGGTAGGAGATCTAAAGAATGGGGTATAAGGTAGGGACTTACCATTCTAAATATAAACTTTCAACAACCCCTGTCTTTTCAACCTCTCCTTCTCTGTAATATTTTGTGTTTCCAATACTGGACTTTTCCAGAAACCAACATCAGACTCACTTATTGTGACCTTCTACCTTTTCAGAAACCCCAGGACCAGCGCGCGCTCTCTCTCTCTCTCTCTTTCTCTTCCTCTCTCCTTCCCTCCCTCCCTCCTTCCCTCCCTATAGATTTATACCTTTTCAATGCCCTTTATAATAGTTTAGTGGCATTTTGAGGATAACTTTTCATGTGTAATCAGGAGAATCATTCTTAAAGGATGTAATTTCTTATACTTTAAGGAATTGAGAACATGCCCCAATTGCTTCACTAAAAAGTTACAGGGGTTTTTTTTTTATATGTTTTGGGGGGACACATGGTCCTTCAGGTTACACATTTAAGATTACTACAAAGAAATGACATGAACCAGGGATTCAGCTCAGTGACATAAGCGCCTGCCTGGCAAGCACAAGGTCATGAGTTCAATCAGTACCCCCCCCAAAAAAAAGAAAAGAAAAGAAATGACAGTACTTATCACTGTCAAAATCACATTCTGTTGGGATTGATTTGTAGAAATGATTAATGGCCTGGCCGGAGTCTGCCACATCTTTCTTTCCTTTTTCTTTGAGGGAAAATATTAGCACTTATAAGGAAGTTGGCTAAATTTAGAAATTTTCAATAATGTGTGTTTGGTTTTCTCCCAAATACCATCTCACCTCTATGAAAATTGACCTATAAAGGAGGCTTCTTTTTTTATTTTAACCTTAACCATTTTAACATTTCTTAACCATCTATAGTTAACATTTCTTCTTTTTTTAATCCTTTTATTCAAGGATAAAATGAAAGAAAAAGAAGAAAAACACTACAACAGAATTTCAAAACACATCAATCAGGGACAACAATGGTACATACGTTGCACAGTGTTATCCCCAAATCATACACCCAGAGCACAAAACATTTGCATTCAATTGTCCAAACAATGCCAGCACAAATCTTTCTCTTCAACAAACTAAGCAATCAGTAGTATAACTATCTTAACTATTTTTATAAACATATATACACATATACGTATGTTTTTTCCTTCAGCTTGTTATACTAATACAGCAATACAGTGTTTATGCATGTGTGTCTTATTTATTTCACTAATGAGTATGTTCTCAAGTTGCATCCATTTATCTATAAAAGTGTCCAGTTTATCCTTCTTTATGGCTGAATAGTACTCCGTTGTATAAAAATACCACATCTTTTTTTATCCATTCCTCAATCGATGGGCATTTTGGTTGTTTTCAAGATCTGGCAATTATAAACTGCACTGCTATAAACATGGGTGCACCTAGATCACTGTGCTATGATGTTTTTAATTCTTCTGAGAAGATATCCAGAAGGAGAATAGCTGGGCTGAATGGGATATCCAGTCTAGTTTTTTGAGGAATCTCCACACTGATTTCCAAGTAGTTTACCAGTCTGCATTTCCACCAACAGTGGATAAGGTTCCTTTTCCCCCACAGTCCCTCCAACATTTGTTATTGTTTGATTTCTTGATAATAGCCATTCTTTCTAGAGTGAGGTTGTGTAAAAATCTGTGCTGCATATCCATGCTTGCATTTTCAGGGCAGGAGACTACTGAAGTCACATCTGGACTAATGGAATGACCTAAGACAAATGCTACAAGAAAGTGACATTTGGGGGTTCCCTAGTAATAGTCCACCTTGCTATCCTATCACCTTACCATGAGTTACAGAAATAAACAAGCTCCATGCATTTGAATTTCATTGTTGTTTTAATTTGCATCTCTCAAATAACCACTAATGTTAAACATTTTTTCACGTATTTATTTGCTGTTTGTATTTCTTCATCTGAGAAGTGTGTATTCATTTCAAATGCCCTAAATGAGGCTTCTTAACCTACCTTCACCATCTAAAGTAAGTACTCTTTTCTTAGAAAACAAAAATTAGATAGCATTTCCTTTAGGATTACCCAAGAATTTAAACATGACACTTAAATCTGATGCAGTGTCTTCACTGAAGTAGTTATGCAAGCATGTTTCATTCTTCCTAATCATAATTCAGAATTATGCTTATATTTTTCCTTCCAGAATTGAGGAGTCCTTGCATATCCTTACAACTGAGCTCATTTTTAGATTTAAGTTGTATTTGAATTAGTCAACTTTGTAAACTTAGCATAAATGTAACCAGCACTTTTAACATATTCTTAAAGAATGCCTCCATATGATAAATAAGAAAATGTAACAGGTTTCTATCCTGCTTCCCCAAAAAAACTCTTACACAAATGCCTTAATATAAAGAGATATTACATATGCCTTAATCGTATCCTGGCTTTTGCCTTAGGACTACGAGCTGATTGCTGGCCTGGTCTATAATTGGAATCTTATGATCATTTGGAAGATTCTGTGACATAGTGGCCTCAGCCTAGTTTCTTACTGGCATGTACTAACATCACATTGACATCTACGTCCATAAGACATCTAAATAAGAAACGCAATGATATCTTTCTTTTCCTTAACTATGATGCAATTGCTCTTTGTAGGTTTTGGTATAACTGAGAAGTTAAAATTTAAGATTCCCATGTTATTTTAACTCTAGACCTTTTGAATCCACTCCTCTGACTAAGGCAGAGTCTAGAAACTGCTGGTCCTTGGGCCAGCAGTGTCTTAAAGAAATTATGTAGCATTATATCTCTGTCTGACTTGAAACCACAGGCACCCCTAATCTATGGGCTCTTTGCAATCTTTCACAAAAAATTCATCTACAATCTTTCATAAAAAGATTCATTAAAAAAAAAAAAGAGCCAGTAAAGATAGGCTTGCTTTAGTTAGTAGGTTACCCAACTTATACAGACAACTGTCTCATGGGAATGGAAACTTAATTAAGGGAAAACTCAGAGTAACTTTCTACTTACACTTATATCTTACTTGGCAACCTGTTTGAAAATATTGCATAAAAGATCCCGCACAGGCAACATCTTATATTCCTGCTTATGATTAATAAATATGGAATCTGAGGCACATTCTACTTTGTAAATCAAGGTTTAGTCCAAATTTCCTGTTTTTTCTACCTTAAAAAACAAAACTCAGGATAAAAATAGTACTGAACTATATAGAATATTCCAGAGTTAAGGTAGTAAGAAGCATTATGATAGATTATTATCTGACCATGAGCAGAGACATTCATTTTGTAGTCACTATTTTAAAAACACATTTTGTGTGGCTACTTTTATAAAAACATTAAAATATTGAAAAGAGGAAAGGAATAGATAATACAGAATAATAAGTCAGTGACTTAGAAATGCAGGCTCACACACAACCAGTTTATGGAAAACTCCAGTCACTCTAGGCAAAGCCTCTCTGTCACATCATAATTTTAACCATGTCTATTTCTGCCTGTATTTTGCAAACTGGCCACTGTCTTCTATTTAATACTCTGTACACTCAAGCACATATATTCACTCACACATTTTGATATTTGTTCAAAGATTTTCCAGTCTTAAGTCATCTGCACTTTCTGCTTTCTTGAGTTTTCTCAGTTCAGCCCCTGTATAATAAGCTCCATTGGGTCTTCCAGCAGCTCAGACTGCAGGTTATTAACCAAGTGCTGTGAGGAATGCGTGCATGGCCGAAAATACTTGAAAATTCATACCAGTCATAGATACTTCATAACACAAAGGTGAAAATTTTCTCATTTGGGTTTCTCTATAGCCTAAAGAGTGTTTCTTGATACAACCAAAGGAAATAAAAGAAGATATCACCAAGACCAAGAAGAGGAAAAAGGTAATATTAATAATTTCTTACAATGGTAGAGACCCAAGTAGTTCCCATCACATTTTCATACATCATACTTTTCCACTTTATAGATACAGCAATTCTAAAATTTAGTGATATTCAATGACTTTTATGAAGTTACTAGTGTTAATTCTTGTTGGGACTAAAAATAAATTCTTATAACTCCTATTGGAGTCATGTGGAGCAACAAATATCTTTGTTACTCATTCTGTGTTTTCCTCGTGGTTGAATGTCAGACCTGAGTATCCAATTTTAGAAGTTCAGAGTTGTTCTCCCTTATGACTCCTCTGGATCTGTTCAAGAAAAGAATTTACCAACCTTCTTTACCTACACATGCCTATTTTTGCGACTTTATATCTTAAAATATTAATAAAAAATAGGCACATAAAAGTGATATAAGGCATTTATGGTTCTGATTGGGAAGCATAATCTTCATCAAAACTTCCCTTCTATTTTAATATTTGACTGTAAGTGTAGAGAAGATTCTGTTGCTCCTATACAAACTTTTTTATGACACAGCCTTAGAGAGTATGGTTAGCTTTCGCCTTCCACCACACTTGTGAAAACAGCAGTGTAATTCTCTGTCTGCTAAGAAAGTTCCACTGCTGAAGTCAGCAGAGGAAATATGATTGGGATTAGAGGAAAGAAAATGAACTCAAACCAGTTACTTAACAGCAAGCTTTTACAAAACCAAGAGTGTGTGTATATATTTTCTTTGTTCACACGTAGCCAAAAAGAAAGACGGAGATGCCAAATTTGCTAAAGGCTGGCAAGTTCTTAGAGAAGTAACTTTAACTTCCCTTTGATAATTCATACACTAATGACCTTCCGGAGTGTTAAATTCTGGTGACTCAAGGTCAGAACTCTAGTTAGATAGATTAGCTTTGGCTGAGATTATGCTAAAATATGCCCACTGATGACATAATTTTAAAAGTTAATACCTTTCACAAGACCTTGACCATTCTTGGCAGTGGCACAGAAATAAGAGTATCATGGAAAGAGGCAAAAGAGCTATAAGTGGAGGAAGGGCTCCTTCTGGATCTCCGGGAAACATTAGGAGGAGGTGAGAAGGGAAGTTTATGACAAAAATGAAATGAACGATTATATGTTCACAGTATTTTGGAGGCATTAAATAAAAGCATTATATAAATGAGATCAAATCAGAACCGATATTTGAAAGTATTTCCCCTAATAGTGGCTCTACTTTCCATAGGGCCACTTTAAACATTGTCAGCCTCCTAAGACCTGAGAATCAGGAGTTTAAAGTCTACAGGATTGTAAAGCTTCTATGTTACTTCTGCAGGTTTAATTCTAATGCTATAAATCCAAACTGAGACTCAGCACTTCAAAATTCAAATAGGCACAAAATTCTCCAAATGCTACTCTTTCAAAAATATAGATCATTTAAAACTAAAGAGAGCCAGGTGCAGTAGTAGCCCATGCGTCTAATCCTAGCTACTTGGAAGTGACAAATTTGAGGCCAGCCGGGGCAATTTAGCAAAACTCTGTCTCAAAATAAAAAGGGATGGGGATGTAAGCTTAGTAGCATAGTGGTAGAGCACCTCTGAGGTCATGCCCAGTACCACTGAAAAAGGGAGTGGGGGACTAAAAGAGTAGTTTCCATAGCAACAAAATTTATTGGCTTTTACTGAAAATTACTATTATGGAGTCTCCTGCAAAATTCAGTTCTTCTAAAAGTCTTACACCAGGAGTTATAAGAAATTATTTTAGATCACCTGTTCATTTTTTCAAGACAGTAATTATGTCCCAGAAGTATTCAGTAAGTTTTCTCAAGTGTTTTTGTTAGACTTTACATTTATACTTGGCTCTCACCAAAGCCTACAAGCAGTTTAAATGCTAGAAGAATGAACTTAAGCCAAATGTCATTCAAAAGCCTACCTTTCTGTTGCTTTTTTCCCCTTCTTTTATCTTAGAAGAAAATTACTGATGTTCTTGCAAAATCAGAGCCAAAACCAGGGACACCTGAAGATCTACAGAAGCTGATGAATGACTACTACAGCAGCAATCGCTCAGTGATTGAATTAGAAGAACTGAGTCTACCAGGTACAGCTAGGCTTGAATTTTCCTAAGAGTGAAAAACAAAGTAGCTCATATTTTCTTTAATGTATGTTATAAGATATTTTAACCAGTAAATTACTGTATTTTCCACATGCTAATACTCTTTTCCTCAACCTAATAACAATTGATTTCCTAATTAAAATGGCAAATGGTATTTATTTAGTACTGAGTTATTATTGTATATTCTTTTTATATTTAAAGGAAATTGTTACATATGTATGCTTAGGAAACTCTTCAAGGAATAAGAGTACCTAAGAAGGATAGAAGTTAAAGTAAAGATAAATCACACCTTTAAAAGTATAAATATGAAATTTCAGTTGACTATAACTTTGATATAATTAACATCTTAGCAAAGGTGTTCTAGTTGTGGCTTTGTTTTTTTTGTTTGTTTGTTTTGTTTTGTTTTGTTTTTTGTCTTTTTGAGATAGGGTCTTGCTATGCAGTTCAGGCTGGCTTTGAGCTCACTTTGTAGCCCAGGCTGGTCTCAAAGTCGCAACAATCTTCCTGTGTGGCTTTGTTTTTAGGATAGTATTGTGAGTTATAGTCTTTTTCAAGTGAGCTATCTAAAAATAGTAACAAAATGCTGCATATGTAGCAAGCTTTACACCTAATCTAGGTCATTCTTTAAGCCTATTACAGATTTATATCAATTTAGAATATTTTTGATTAAAAGTTACTGCAAAATTAAAGTAACTTTTTTTAAATTTTATTTAAAAGGAAAAAGAAAAAAACAAAACAAAACAAAGCGGTGTAAGGGTACAAATAATACAGAACTACAAAAAAAAAAAAAAACAGTAAGAAATCACCAGTTAATAGATAACACATTATCATCTTAGAGATAGTTGCTCAAGTCACAGTATCAAAGCATACAAAGTGAACATTCAAACAGAGAGACTGCAAACAGTTGTGTTCAATGATCCAAACAAAAACATTAATATGGTCAGCTGTTTAACACCCCTAAACACACTTGCAGTTGTATCCTTTAGAGCACTTTTTTTCCCTCTCTTTTTTACAACAAAATTTCCACATTTTGGGTTTTATTACTCCTTAGTTCTTATTACTTTTTTTTTTGGAAGAGAATAAAGTCAAATATGGCAAAACAAAGCTGTCAGCCAAAACCAAGGATAGACATAGTACATGATGTAAAAACACAGTACAAGGTTATCAACAGTGGTTACCATAATGTCTCTTGTTTCCTTAAAAAGAATTGTCTATCTCATTAGATATTATAAAGTTGAACAAAACAGTAGAGAACAAGACCAATAAAACTTAAACATTGTAAACATTATAGGACTTCAAAAGGAAATAATAGTCAAACCAGAATGGGCATCTTAGTGAATCTTATTGCCTTCAAAGTAGTTGCCTATACCCTCAAACTTGATACTATCATACAGAACGGAACAGAGTCTAATCAGTCAAAACAAGACAGTGGGAGTATTACAGGACTTCAAAACAAGTAACTATTTTTAATTAATGTTAAAATTATGATATAGCCAAGCATGGTGGCACACACTTGTAATCCCAGCACCCAGAAAGCTGAGGCAGGAGTATTGCCACAAGCTCAAAGCCAGCCTGTGGTACAAGCCAGTCTAAGTCCAGCCTGAATGCATTGTGAGACCTTGTCTCAAAAATAAATTAATTAATTAAATTATGATATATTCTGTAGTTCTTTTGGGAAGGGATGGAATAAAATAGATGTGGTCATAAAAACAAACCATAAATAGAGTACCCCTACTTAGCTGAGCTATTTATAGATACTAGGGATAACTGATTCTACTTTTGGAAATAGTCAAGGGTTGCTTAATTTCCTTTTTCCATTACAACTTTATGCCTTACAGAAGCTTGAGAAACTAGAAAACAGTCTGTTCCCTGAATTTTTATAATTCTTTTGTGGTATCCTTTTATTAAAATTGCACATTGGGTTTAGAGACTTGAGTGACCCCTTTGTTTCTTTTCCAAGAAAATTGCCTTTAGAGGACTGAGGAGTGCTTTTGTGCACGCACAGGATCTGGGCTTTCAAGCTCACTGTGCCCACTTGGCTCCAGCAGCAGTTGGAAACCACTCTACAGAGCACCGAATGCCTACTGTCACAGGAGCCGAGTGCTACAACCAAACCACTGCTCAAGATCTAGCTGCTTTAGTTCTTGTTGAGTTGAGTCAGTTTTTACTAGAAGTGTCAGATTTCCATTCTTACTCTCTGTTAGAGCATATAAACTTAAGAAGGGTTAGTGAGTTAAAAGGACCACCACTATTATGTAATCTCTGGAACATCACAAACATTGATTTCTCTAGAATTGTTGAACATTAAAGGTCAAAAGAAACTCTCAAGCAATCTTCTAAGGTCCAGCATGAGTTTGCTATTGTTTTATTAGAGTCTGATAATAGACAAGAATGTATAGTCATGGATTTGTTTAGAGAGGAAGGAAGGTATGTTAGACATGTAGGCTTTCATCTTCAGGAGAGATATTGGTCATTCTGAGACACAGTGAACTAACGAATCATTGGAAGGGGCTGGGGTAGTTTAGCTCAGCAGCATAAGTGCACACTTGGCAAAGGAAAGTCGTGAGTTTGATCCCGGCACCAGAGAAAAGAAAAGAAAAATCATGAGAAGCTTTAGGAGAAAAAGGCGTGTTACTATACTGATGAATCATAGAAAGAAAAAAGACTATGGTAGGTGAGAAGAGGCCTAAGCATAAGGTAGATATAAATAATAAAATATAATTTCTATTCAGTTTGTCAAGTGTCAAACTTGGTTTTAATTTGAGGTTGTTTGTGTCTGTAAGGCAGGAACATATCTTTTCAATTAATACTGTGCACTGTACATTGTTGATCTCATACACATGGACACTTAATTAGGGTTTTGAGGCCAACCTTACTGGGAGCTAATTAACCTCTGCTGTACCCTGACAGCCATAGAGTGTTTAGATCAGTGGTTTAGATCTAAGTGCTTAAGGCTAGCTGCAATTGTTTTGCCCAGGAACTCCTTTAAAAACAGTCTAGCCTCATTCTCCAGTGATTCTAACTCACTATGCCGTACAGAGTTTATTCAGTCTATCCTAGGAATCTGCATCTTTTGTAAAAAAGAAAAAAACTATCCAGGTGAGTGTGACTATATGAAAGCTTAGGGAATTATAGCTTTTAAATCCATCAAAACTCCACATCTGCATAAGTTACAATTTTGAAATTACTCACATGATGTGACTGATGTGCGCTAAGTCACAATATAAATTTAATTTGGTAATAGTTCATTCCCTGACACTGTGAGAAAGAGGTTGATAACCATGATGTTGACTTTTTATACATCTCAGGACAGTAGTACCTGAGATCAGGTACAGTTACATAATTGATATAGTGATGATTATCTTTGGTTGACAAGGCTCCTATTTTAATGTGTGGTTTTTAATGTGAGACCATAAAGTATTATATTTGATACATTATTCCATTCTTCCCAAATAAATTTTTCTTTCCTTTTAGACATTCATTCTAAAATATTGCTATATATATTCAAATAGGTATATATTTTTATAAAAATGTCATATTTCTGTGTGTACATTTTAAATTTTAATTAAATAATCTTGTACTGATCCCCATTCCTTTTTTTGCCTCTTCATTTTCCAGATATACTTACATGGCTTTATGTATATCTAACTCATTGCTTCTAAATACTACATAGTATTCTAGTGTTTTCATCTACTGTGTATTACTCTTCTATTTTCTCATATATGTATCCTTAAGTTGCCTCGCATGTCTCAGTATCACAAATAGTCCCAGGGTGAATATCCTTGTGTATGTCCCTTTATAGACCACATCAGGATTTATTTGCATCATTCAGCCAAAAATGGATTTCTTCCCATTATTTATGCTGGTATCCTGAGGTATATAATTTTAATGTTACTACTTTCCAGACAGGTTGCATTTCCAACTAAAGCTGACAAGCATTCACATCACCCTGCATTCTCAATGCTTGATATTGCACAATCTTTCTAACATTTGCCATTCCAGATGACCACTTTGTCTCACAGTTGTATTAATTTGCACTTCTCTGATCACTAATGGGTTTGAACATCTCTTTTTGGCCACTTCACTTTGCCTTTGTAATATTGCCTATTTCATGGATTTGAAATATAGAAGTTTTTCATTAGTCTGTGATACAGAAAGATTCTCTTTCACTACTGTAAGAAATTACAAGCATTCAATCCAGCTATACCTCTTCTATGTATCTTCTTAACAGAGTTAAAGACATCATATTATAGTGATACACACATTACCCATGCTTGTAGCAACATAGTTCATAATAGCTAAATCCTGGAAGCAGCCTATATTCCATCAACAGAAAAATGAGTGGGTTTACACAGTGGATACTACTCTGCCTTAAAGAAGGCTAACCTTGAGTCATTTGTAGGAAAATGGATGTACTTCGAGACATAATATTAAGTAAAACAAATTAAGCACACAAGCTTAAATGTTTCATGGTTTCTCTTATGAGAACCTCAAAAATATAAAGAGCAAAATAAAAGATAACAAAAAGCAGGGAGATAAACCTTTTTCAAATGGAAAGGGGACCAAGAGATGGAGAGGGGATGGAGAGATGGAGAGGGGTTAAAAAACAACTGAGGTGTTTTGTATATATGTGCCCACTCTCCATAAAAAATGTAATCTTGTATACTGTAACATGTACCAATAAAAACTAAACAAAAGAGAATAAATAGATAAACAGCAAAATAAGTATAAGAGGGAAAAAATAGAGAGATAATATCTTTTACAAAAGGGAAGTGGACCACAAAATGGAGGAAGGGAGGGAGGTGAGAGGAATGAAAAAAAGAATTAGACTGTGTTATGTACTGTCCCCATGAGGAATATAATCATTATGTACACAAACATGTACTAATAAAAAAACTGAAATTGAAAAAAATTCTAGCCAGCTTTGTGGAGGGTTAAAGCTTTATTTCTCTTTGATACTGTAGTTATCTTAAACACTTTAAAATGCACGAGCTTACTAATTTTATGTAACTTGTAAAGAATATATATCACATTTATGTTTAACTGGCTTGACTGAATGTTTGTAACATTTCCTACTGAGCATATTTCTCGTATATCTAGATTCCTGTTTCCTCAAGGCCAATGACTTGACTCACAGTTTTTCATCCTACCTAAAAGAAAGTAAGTAAACTATGGTTTTTAAAAAATTATTCTCATGAAAAATAAGATTTGTCTCTTTCAAACTTTTAAAATTACATTTAAAATCAAAATTTTCCATCTTAGGTGAGCATTTTAAATGAATTTCTTTGGCTCCATCTTAATGTTAATTTTTAACCTATTTAAATTTATACTTGTTTTGGTCTGGCACTGAAAACTTGGGTTTTGGCCTCATTTTTGTTTCATAACACATTGGCAGTATTGGTCTAGGAACTAGAGAATAGTACTGTAGACCCATGTGATCCAATACTTTGTTGTTTGACCAAGAATGAGTCACTGAATCCTCCCCTGGACTTGGTTTTGTTATCTGAAAGATAATGAAGATGAGCCATGATTACACTATACTGGCTATGATGTTCACATGTTCAGAACTCAGAACTCTTCCAAAATCAACCTAATTTGATCTTTGCAGTATGTATTATGCATAGCCAGAGATAACTAGATTATTCATATCAAGTTATTTCTTTGTGGCCAGCAATGAAAGCTTAGATATAGTGACTTTACATTTTTTCAAATTGTAAGCATTTTTTATGATAACTACACTGAGTAACCTCTCCAGCACCAAATTCAGCAAATGTAGATGTAGCTAATAATGGAGTCAACAATTCTAGTGGATTATACAACTTTAAAATATGTATAAAATGCTTAGCACAGTATGTGAGAAATATTGGCTATTATTTAAAGGTCAGTTCCATTTTATGTCTTATGGTGGATGTCATTTTAAAATTTAACAGAATTAGAATTCTTCTCCTGTTTAGTCAAGAGTACCTTCAAGCATCAAACATAAATTAAAATATTGAAACTATATTAGTGTGTATTATGTATTGTGTTGTAAATTAATTGCATGTCATTTTAATCTAAAGTCTAGCATAACCAGAAAATAGAATTATAATGAACAGTAGTCATTATATTCTTTTTTGCTTAAACACTAGTAAGTAATTGGAGAATACTTAGCTTTGGAAACTTTTGCTATATTTAGCATAAATTTGTGTGGCTTGTATTTGTTTTTTTGTTTTAGTTTGTCCTAAGTGGGTAAAACTTCGGAAAAACCACAGTGAGAAGAAGTCAGTCCTGATGCTGATCGTCTGCAGCTCTGCCGTCCGAGCTCTGGAGCTCATTAGGTCAGAAGCTTCACCAATTCCTCTTAAGTGTCTAAGAAGTAACTAATGTCTGGCAACCTGATGTTTGGAGCAACAGCAATGAATGAAACAGAGCCTCTGCCCTTGTGGAACTTATGTCCCAGTGGGGAGGAAACATGCATATAATGTGCAGTAGAGTGATAAGTTATATAGAGAAAAAATAAAACATGGAAAAGGAACAAAAGTAGATGGGGAGAATTTATAAAAGATGAGTCATAGAAACCTTCTCTAAGGAGATAATATTTGAGAAGAGGCTTGAACAAAGTAAAGGGGAGAACCAAGCAACTGTCTGGGAGGACAGTTAGAACAATCCAGTCTGAGTAGACTGGCAGTAAACAGAAAGACACTAAGGCAGAATGCCACTGGAGCATTGTGAGTAGAGGACTTTGGGGATTTGAGTCATCATCTTAAAGGATCTTTTCCTGCTGTGTGGGGAAATACCCTGTGGAAGGCAGGGGTAGAAGCATGCCAGCAATAACCTGTTAGAAGGAAAACTGGGGGAAACCAGGTCTGGTCAGAACAATAGTAAGACATGGTAGAATGCCAAAGAATGAACTTACCAAAATCTGTTTAAAGAAAACATCATATGAGATATGATCAAAAATTACAGTATTTTTTAAATTTATTACAGTAAAACACATACTATTTATCCTCCTCAACGTACTTCCACTTGCTTTGAACACACTTATCACATCTTTACTTCTGCTTTTTGAAGCACCTTTCGGAACTGAGATCTCTGGCTGCCTCAGTGTCCTAAATGGATGCAGTTGTGACTTTTATGGTCATTTTGACTTCAGGGAAGAGCCAGAAGTTTGCTTGGTGCTGGATCTAGTGAATAAAGTGGATGGCAACACACCATAATATTTTTATTTAGCAGAAATTTACTATAAATATTTGATCAGTGCAAAATGATCAAAAACAGGGTGAATGTTTAAAGTTTTTTTTTTAACAGTTTTACAGTAAAAGACACATTTCCAAGACCCGGAGAATAAGTGTGTTCAAAGTGAGGGGGAGTATCTTGAGGCTGATAAATGGCAGTGTGTCTTTTTTTTTTTGTAATAACTTTAAATTTATACATTCACTACATTACTTTATCAGCCCTTTAGTATGGAAGAGAAACAATCTTGAACAAAGAAAAATGTGTGCCATATTCTTGAATGAAAGATTCAATATTATTACATCTGTTTTACTTAGAATAATTAGAAATTTCATAAATTCCCAATAAAAACCCAATAGCATTATTTTTTAGCATTATTTTTAACACTAAACTAATTCTAAATTTAAACAAGAAAATATGCAATTAAAAATGAACAAGGAAATTGTGAAACAATACTAACAAGAGGATACTGTTCCTATCAAATATATATTACAAAGACTCAATTATGGAACCAATATGGAATTATCACCTCTTGACAGATCAGATAAGTAAAGTTGAAAAATAGACCTAAATGCATATGAAAATGTAGCATGTGGCTAAGGTGAGAAATATAGATTACCTAACAAATTGGTTTGGAGCACTGCATAGCCATCTGTAAAAATGAAGTTGGATTTTATATCTCATTTCTTATACTAAGGTAAATTTCATAAGGACCAACCATTTAAATGTAAAAATTTTATGTTAAAACCAGTTTGCCTATGTTTTATGTACCTTTTCATTTATTGCATTTTTGTGGAATATACAAAAAGCTTCCATTGATTTAGGGTAAAATTCAGCTCCCCAGAGAAGAACCAAGAGAGTAAGATGGAATTTACTCAGGGTAACCCTCTCTGGCAGCCAGGTGCTGAGTCATGCTCTGACAGGAAACAAAACAAAGGAAAATCCAAGTCAGGAAAAAAAGGAATTTGGTCAACTACACTAGGTTGCACTATTGTAGCCCCATAAAAGTTATTTGTACTGTGTTTTTATAAATAAAATTATCTAATCATGTTTTGAATAATGAAAAACATAGTTGTTAAACTTTAACAGCTTTTCCAGTTTTCCTCTCTCTACTTAAGCACACACACTAAGTCTTATCCCACTCCCAGTAAAGCAGGTGTTTCTTTCAGCTTGCTTCCAAACTAACTGATTTTCAGTTCCCCATTCTCTGAACAGCTGTATTTGTTGGTCCTGAAATCAGTGCACATTGATTTTTCAGGGCTTTTAAAAGCCAACAACCACAGAATTCATCTCTGATTGAAATAATAATGGCAAAGAGAGGTTGACCTAGAAGTTACCTCTTAGAAATAAGTTGTCAAATTGATTTGAGTTTTTACTGTATATAAAGGGGCATAGCAGCACTGTGTTGTCACATTTCATTTACAAATTCTCACTGTTTTACTGTGTTCCCAATAATATTATGACTTGTGTCAAGGTGATTTCTGAGCAGGCAGAATAAGCTATGCTTATAAAAGCTAATGTTCAGTAATTCTAACTTCTGCAAGAAAATCCATTCTCTTGAGGGATATGAGCTGTTAAATTGTTTTTCTAGTTAACAGAGAAAACCTATATGTAAGTAAAACCTCACATGGAACAGAACTTATATAACGTGATTCACTATTTTGCAAATTTGTGTATTCCTCCTGGTCAGTGATATTTCTCAAAACATAATGATATATAAAATAAAGTAAAATTCCTATGTTAGGTTATCTCCAAATATCAGTTAAAAGATTTTATTTTTGTTCATTTATATCCATGTCAACTCAAAACAGAATTTTTGGTGATATGGAGAAACACAGACAACAAAGGAGATACTGGTGATAAAAATGATGCAAAGTTAAAAAGTTCAAAAAATCAGGTTAAGTAAGAGTTACTGTTCCAGATCACTTCCATAATGTCCTATTCAATTGTAGGCCCAATTTCTGTAGGCCTTCACATTCTCACAGCCAGAAGAAGTCAGAAACATTACCAGCTGCAGACTCATGGTCTTCTTTGGATTTAAAAACAGTTCCTTGAGAATTACAGCTTTGTCAGTAATGACATAGTGAGAGCATCATCGGTATCATCTCTACAAAAACGGGCAGAGGTTGTAATGTGGCCATTTATAGAGTAGCCACCGGTAAGGCTGAGGGCCTGCTCCCCTACAGCTAGTGAAAGCAACTGTGGAAGGCACTGACCAGCACGCTCTTGACCCCTTCCCCAAGAGCTGACTGTCTGGCTGAACAGAGCTAGATCCAAATTATTGAATACCTTGAAACAACACAGATATTTAGGTCAAAGTTGTAAATCATCAGTCTGACCAAATGTGCCCCATAAGTATTTTGTATCTAAAACATTTGAATGAGTTGCCCATCATTAAAATTAGAATGCACATGTTAAAAGATTTTTGGTTTCTCCAAAAATCAGGTCTCATAACCCTGGGCCCATAATCTCATATCTTAGTAACAGCCTTAGGTGAGACTGACTGATTCCTTTACTGGGGTTCCCCTCCATCATCACACCTACCTCCCTGATAGCCTCCGTCATTTATAATGCCTGCCTGATCTCACAGCCCAAAGTCAGCCGGTCCTTTGTGTCTGTTTTTAGTTACTTTTTTCCTTCTATGCTTCCTTCTCCATTCCCTTTCTTCCTTCTTTCCTTTTGGCAGAAGCATTTCCATAAAAGAAATTATGTATAGAAACTCAGACTACAAAATAAAAACAATGGGACTGCTCTGATAGAAGGATCCAACCCTTCTTCTCTGTCAAGTCAGCCCATGGGATTCCTTCACAGCCATGATACACAGACCTTTGTAGGTACTTATAGGCTTTACAGGCTATAAATGCCTTTATGGGCTGACATTGCTTTTCTAAGATTTTTCTTGCAAACAACTTTGGGTAAGAACCACATTGCAAAATTCAAAGATAAATTCTCCTCATAGGAACATGAGAACTCTGTATGGTTACGGAAGGGCAGATCCACAAGTTTCAAGCATCAAAGAAACCTAAGGTTAACCTTCTGTATAAGAGAAGCAAATCAGCTATGTGCCTGAATAAAAGCCACCCTAATTCTGACATTTCTGTTTTGGAGACATGGTCTCACTATGTTGTCCAGGCTGACCTCAAACTCAGTATTTTCTTGCCTTAGCTCCCAGAAAACTAGGACACAGGCTAACGTACTCAACGGGCAATTCTAATTTCATTATAGAGATGGGGCAACCAGAAAATTTCAGAATATTTTTGTGTGGAAATAAACATATGCATGTGCACATACATACACACACTTTTTAAATAAAGCTAGGTATATTTTAAATAAAGCTAGGTATATTTTGTAGTAAACACATCCCACAATCAGTTTGTTTTTGTTTTTTGTTTTTTTGTCTTTTTCTTTTTTATCAGTACCGGGGATCGAACTCGCGACTGCCTGCTTGCAAGGCAGGCACTTATGCCGCTGAGCTAAATCCCCAGCCCTCAGAATCAGTTTCTTATGCATTAATCTTTTCATTAGGTCGATGACAGCATTCAGAGGCGACAGCAAAGTTATAAAATTGTTTGCAAAACATATAAAGGTAAGCAGGGGTCTGTGGTTTCTGATGGGGAGCTGTACATGATCCCTACGGTGTACTCCCCGACCTCAGCTCTTCCCTTTGATCTCTTCTCCCACTCTCCTTAGCAAATGTTTTCTTGATGCCTTTTTATATGACACATTTAGCAACCATTCTGGTTTTCTATGAATTTCATATTTCTTCATACCTATCTCTCCTGCAGCAACCACTGCTTTGCTTTGCTGCTTTCTTGTATGGGTGACATTTGATTCTTGGATTCTTGAGGGCATACCAATTTTCTAGGGGATTTTCTTCTTTTTCCTGGAAGTTGATCCTAATCAACAGTAGCCATATTTGTTGCCTTTCTCCTGTCCTTAATTTTGAGATAAAGTGCTCTAAATTGGCCTGTGACTGTGTTGTATTGTTTGCTTGCATTTGTTTTGTTTTCTAAGGCAAGTCATTGCTATTGTTCCCCAAGCTGGCCTCAAATTCATGATCCTCCTATCAGCCTCCTGAGTACAGGTGGTAGTGCACGCTACAATACCTCGTGGATTATACTTTTTAAATGATTTTTCCTTTCTTCTTTTCCATCCTGGAATAGGTCCAGGAGCAGGTAAAGTTGTTGGAGAAGCGTGTGGTGCATCTGGGTGTAGGAACTCCAGGAAGAATTAAAGAACTCATTAAACAAGGTAAGAAAAGAGGACAATGGTACTGCTACCCAGACCAAGGAGTTTGCCTTACTCTTAGGTGAAGTTAGGAAACTATATGTCAGATGTAGAGAAAAGGGACCTCTCTGTTAATTCCCCAATGGGAGGCTGAAATATTAGTCTCTGAAGCCACCCAGTGAATAAAATACCGTGAGGAGTGATAAGGACTGTGACAAACGCATTTGCCCACTAAACATTTAGAATTCTCATTTCTGTAAGAAGATTGTCGATCCACAGGGCCTTCGTCTACCAGTTTGCAATGTCTGGAATTTGTAGAGCTGAATGTATTGAGTAGTTTCCTGTCAGATGATTGAGTCTTGCTTACCTGAGATTCCATTCTGTTTGTAGCTGATATATAAAATATATTCAAATAAAAAATGCAGTTTCTATGGATATTCTAGAGTATTCCTTACCTACTGTATTTCTCATTCAGTGCTATACCCACCAACTATTCCAGACAACCTCCATCAGAGAATTTTTATAGTTTATTGAATTTCTCAAAGTCTAATAATCTACTAACCTGTTGATGATCTTGTTACTTATTCTATCTACCAGATTTAATTTCTTCTTTTCACTGCTCATTTCTAAATTACTTGGTATAGGTAGTAATAGAACTTTCTTTTGTCACTGTCTAGGGGCATTCCTGAAAAATTAGTAACTCAGTCCATAGTTGATCATTTGCCAGAAAGCAACCAAAATCTAAAACTACTGGTGTTTCTTTACAGATAAAAATCATCCAGGATTAATTGAACACATTGTATACAAGAGTTCTGAATAAATATAAAGTAATATGAAACATGGCAGCCTCTGACAAGAAAGGGAAATATTTTTTGAGTTCCTACTTACACAAACTTATGATGCTGTCTCATTTAGTACTCACAACATCCTTCCTGCTCAGCACTCTGAATTTTTATGAGAGAAAAGTGAAGCGCATTAGAAGGGTAAAGTGACCAGAAAGGCCTGTCAATCTCGGCCTTTCTCTTAGGTGATCTCTTGATCTAGTTGAAGAGCTCAGTGTCATGAGAATGAAACAACATGAGACAGTAAATGCCAATGAGTACTTCTAGGTCCTGTGATAGTTGAAGTGGAGTCATGGTTGTTAGGTTGCTCTGAATTTGCAGGAAAATATCTTTGGTCTTTGAAGTATGGAGGATTAAGATGGGCAAGAAGATTAGAGGACAGCCCACTTAGCAAAGGTGAGACAGATGCTTATGGTATATCAAGAGGAAACAGTGAGTGGACACTACCCTGTGGCAGTGAAGTGCCTCTAGTATGAACTCAGACAGCAGAATTCAAAGACCAGGTGGCAACTTACTTAACCTTCCTAACCATGTTTCTTTATTTGAATGACAAAGATAGTCACAGTACCTACCACAAGGATTCTATGAAAATAAAAAGGCAAGAAAGAGCTCAGCATAATGTGTCAGAACCTGAGTACTCAAAAAGTACTGAATAGACCATCATTTTTCTTAGAGAGTCCTGGACTACAGTGCCTGTGTTTCCATGGAAGTCATACTGTAGAGGAGGACCTTGAATAATAAGCTGAGGATGTTAGATTTTTGTTTTGTGGATACAGGAAGGCATTGAAAGTTAAGGACCAAATGAGAGGTTCCAATCATAGTGCGATGGCACACGGATTTGGGAGATCTTGGCTGTGTGGACATCAGGAGGGGTGAGGAATGGACTCTCAGACTGACTGCAGCCTTCTATTCACTTTTCAGCTGAAGATTTACCTCTCCCCTTTCTGAAATACAAGACTTGTTTGGTTTGGTTTGGTTTGGTTTGGTTTGGTTTGGTTTGGTTTGGTTTGGTTTGGTTTGGTTTGGTTTAGTTTAGTTTAGTTTAACTTAGTTTAATTTAATTTCATTTAGTTGAAATGAGGACTTACTATGTTGTTCAAACTGGCCACACTATGTAGCCCAGACTGCCCTCAAACTCACAGCAATCCTGCCTCAGCTTTCCAAGTCCCAGGGTTACAAGCATGTGCTACCATGCCTGGCTGAAATACAAGATTATTATGTTTCACCAGGTAACCCTTTCCCAATTCAGTAGGACACTTTGGTCTGTATACAAGAGAGACAGAAAGAAAAAGAGAGAGACTATCCAGGCCATTGAAATTAGATTTCTATGCAGTTGCAAGAGCTCAATATGAAGGCTCATTTTCTGTGGAAAATTGATTTAAGGAGCTGTTGAGTTTTATAATATTAATGAAAATAACTTGTGAACATGATTAGATAAATGTTTTTATATTCATTAACCAAGGGTGTCAGGCTACATACAAAGTTTTTAAAAGAATAGCCCAGCACTCTAGAAACTGAGACTCTGACAAAGTGAGACTGACAGCATATAGCTAATTTTATGTAGTTGTTTATGACTTTAGATGTTTATGTGGTTGAAATATAAGAAGAATTTCCACACATTGGAAGATACCCCAATTACAGTTGCAGCCTGAATTTTGTTTTAATTTAATATTGAAAGACATTTTCTAACTATTAAGTCATGAAAATGCAAAAGGTGCAGAAAAAATCATTTCAGAAACAATCTGTTATTGGTTGTAATGAATGTATTTCCTTTCAGTCTTTGTTCTACACATTTATATATTTTTATAGAGCAGACATCATAGTACATCTCAGACCTTTGTAACCTACAGTTTTCACTTACTATATCTCATCAGACTTTTCATAAAATAGGTTTATGTTTTCCTTTATAATATCTGTATAAATATCCTATGATAAAATTATATTTTCCAATATTTTTACAGTAGGCTAATTGGGTCTCTTCTGATTTTTGTGATTACAGTGGTACCTCTTTCACGAACCGAGGTACCACAATATACATAATACTGCACTGATCATCTTTGCAAGTAACTATGTTTAAGTTTGTAGTGTTTCTAGGGAACATCAGAGAAGGAAAACCATTTTGTTAAATTAAAGCTCTTATTATGTAATGCCAGCTTTCATTCCAGACTTGCTCAACTTGTTTGCTCTCCCACCAGCAGTGAGTTACTTTTAAGGAAAGACTGACACACCACCCCCTTGTCTTCCCCAGTTTATTGTTTTAATTTTGCAGAGAATTTTTTAAATAGAATATTTTAATTACAAGAGATGTGAGAAAGTATTTGGGGCAGAGAGAGGAATATTGATACAGCTAAAGGAAATGCTGAAGGGAGGTGCTTCAGGCATTGTTTGCAAGTTTGACAGCCAACAACTTGGAGTGGTGGGAACAACTGTGTGCCAACTCCAAAGCCCCGAGACCTCGACATTCCCTGAAGTTCCCTTTGGCCCTCACATTCAATAATTGTTTTTTAGATAGCCAGGAAAACAGGGGATGGAGTCCAAGTTAGTGATCACCCTCATCAAAAGATAGCTGACTTTGAATGGAGCCTACTCATCCGGACTTCCTTTTCCACCTAAAACCCACCTGCCTTCAGCCTTCTCCTCATTCATCTCTTTTATTATTTGGACTCTGTTGCACTCTACCCCTCTGAAAAGATACTGCCTCCAGCTTCAGGATAGAGCTTATCACATGTCCAGCAGGAAGAAGGTGCTGCATTCTGGGTTTCATGAAATTGAAGCTTGGCCAGCCAGTGCCTGAGTCTGTGTGGGCCAGGCTTAGCCAGACCCTCTGCCCTCCTCAGAAGTGGTGAGAAGAAGCAATCCCCACCTGGGAACCAGTGCCATATGCTGGCTGCTGCAGGAGTGGGAACAGCCAGACCACAGCTCCTTCTAGTGCGCACACTGGCAAACAAGCAGTACCAACCAAACACCCACCCCCATAGGCAACTGCTGATCCAGAGAAACACAGGCTGTGATGATGGCTATGGAGGTGAAATGCAATTGGATGCCTGTGGTACTCTAGTGTTTCACTGTCCTTGCAGGTCTAGGGTCAGCGCCTGATCATCTGTTCAGAGGATAATGGTACACAGTGTGGCATCTAGAGGGTGCATCTCCTGAAGGTGGTAGCCATCATTGATAACCTGTTGTCTTGTTTTGAAGTCATATATCATTTTCATTGCTTTGTTGGGTTGGATTTTATTCTGTTTTGTTTGATTATGTTAAATCTAGTGGCAGGAGCAGCTATTTCAAAGATAACAGGATACACTATAGTAGCCATTTTGAATTTACTGTTGTCTTATTTAGAAGTCCTTTATGGCACTCATTGTTTTATTTTTATTGCTTCTATTCTATTCTGTTCTGTTTGATTTTTACTATATCTAAAGGTATCTGCAACTATTTAATCATTTTATGTCATGAGGTCTTTACTTACAAAGCTTATTTACTGTCTCTTGCAGGTGGCCTTAACTTGAACCCTTTAAAGTTTCTGGTATTTGACTGGAACTGGAGAGATCAGAAGTTGAGGAGAATGATGGACATTCCCGAGGCAATTGTCTTTTTTACCTTTTTTATTTTTCAATTTGAATTTGAGTTCAAACATAGCAATAGTATTGGATGTGGGGAGCCAGCACATTCTGGCTTTTGAAATGATTTCTGTCTTTTAATTCATAGGTAACTACAGTTGCATAGACCACCTCATCCCCTTGCACATCTGCTTTCTTGCTCAGTAAATGACCAATGACCCCGTCTCTCCTGGGAAAACATATACACTTTACCTTTGACAGCCTGGAAGATTTGAAGGACTTAGAACTTTTCCCATGCCATCTTTGCCTTTCTTCCTCATCTGTGTAATTTTGGTGGAAGGAAAGGACACAAACTTGCTTCATTGCTGGCATCTCCACATCCCCCAAAACCCACTTAAATTTAGAAAGATATTTTGGTTTTGTGGGATGGGAAAATTCCTTGATGTCTCTGTGGATTAGAATTGGATGTTTAAATGCCTGTGGACCACAGCATTAGTTCATTGCATATTTATGAAAACCATTCATTACTGTCATAATGTGAAAAATTGATTTTGCTGCCACCATGTGATTACCCTCCCATAATAACAGGGGATCAATTTTTCAATCTTCTCTAATTTTTTGAAGTAGCTGTTAGGAAAAAATAGAGGGGAACTACTCAGTAAGAAACATGGCTGCCTGTCACCAAGCAGGAGTAAATATTGGCAGTAACTGTCAAAGAGACTTGGAATTACTCCTCCAGACATGCTGAATGAATCAGTTTACCACATGAATCTATGTCCCTAAATTAACCAAACCAGATTTATTGATGAGTTATATCAGACATCAGCTCACATTTAAAAACAATTCACTCAATTCCCTACACACAGAGAAAGAGAGAGACATACAACCTTGTAGTGTGTCCCCCGGTTTTAATAAACTAGTTAACAAATTTGAAGTTAAACACATGAAGAAGCTATATTTAATAAAAAGTCTGAGTAATCTACTAGTTTTCTGGTTATAATGAGAACTAATTCAAGACAATTTTTGTCATCATGGTGGGCATACATGTATTCTCAGGAGTGTGGGAGGCTGAGCTAGAAGGATCACAGATTTGAGCCCAGCCAGGTGTAATGGCTTATCATGAGGCAGGAGAATCACTGTGAGTTTGAGGCCAGCCTGGGCTCCAAATTGAGTTCAAGGTCAGCCTAAACTCCATAGTGAAACCCTGTCTCAAAATGACAAAAAAAAGCCAAGGGACATAGCTTAGTGCAAAAGCCTGGGTCATTCCCCAGTACTGTAAAAAAGCATTAACCTAAAGCAATAAAATTGAAACATTATATGTAATCTAGGTTATAGACAGCACACTTTGGAGTTTTTAAACCATGATTGTATGACATTTTACTTTGAATGGCTTAAAATGGAAGGATACTGTAATGAAATTGATGTTTTATGAAGTGACTCTTTCTTTTTTCATGTGACTATTTCAATTTAGAATCAAATGTGGGTTAGAACTGTTGCTCACTGATTCTGACCATAGCAGATGTGTAAACACTCAGGGGCCCAGGTGGTTGAACTTTTTTACCAAAACCATCATTACTTAACCTTAACCTTTTTTCTCTTCTCTCTCTTTCTCATTTAGATAAAAAAGGAGGTTTTTGAACTTTTAGAATTGGGAGTATTCAACCTATGTAAGTCAGAATCCTTGAAGTTGGGCCTTTTCTAATCCTGGATCCTAATGAAGATTCCAGTTTTCGCAATAGAATTTGCATCTTATTTAATAATGCAGGTGTATTACAAGCACTCAATAAATCAACTATTAGTTTTTGTTATGTTAACCACATCACCACATGCATCACTGGGAATGCTTGTTTGGGAAGTCTCTAAAATAAATGAATCTGTGTTTTTGCCTACTGCCTCATACAATAAAGAATCACCAGCTTGTATGTGAACTTTGTTGAGTGAACTGAGTTCTTTTTCATTGTCTTATCTTTCCCTGTGACTATGTGAGAGACAAAAAAGAATAGCTGAACAACCTAAGGAAAGCCCCTTCCCTCTCTGTGCCTCGGTCTCTCTTCTGCTTGAAAATGGGAATGCCTCACAGGATTGTTGAAAATTTCATGAGATGGTACCCATAGGGCAGATTTATAAACTGAAACAGGGTCCCAACATGAAGAGTAACTAGTACGCACCACAGATATGTGTGGAAATTTATGAACATATATTTATAGCTGTCTTACTCTTTTTTATCACTTGGACAGAGCACCAAATTCCTGCAACTTGAAAGAAAAGAGATGTATTTTGGCTCTCAGTTTTAGTTCATGATCAGCTGTCGGATGCAAGAGGTTCTGTAAGCAGGGAGAAAGGGAAGGAGCTGGAGAGGGAGCAGTTCTCTTCCGGATCATGCTCTAGGTCTCACATCCTAAGAGCCACTGAGTTCTGAATCATCAGTGCATTAATACACAGGCATGCACAGCACCCCACGATCCAATCACTTTCTAGAAGCTCCACCCACCTCTGAGCACATAAACCTTTTCTGGAGACATTCAAGATCTAAATTCTGTTTAACAAAAGCTATCTTATTCATTTTTATTAAATTTAATATTTTGAAATAATTTCAGATTTACTGAATAGTTGCAAATATAACATAGATAATTCCCATGTACCCTTCCCCCAACTTCTCTCAATGTTAACCTCCTAAATAACCATGAAATAGTAACCAAAACTAAGAAATCATTAGCAGTACAACACAGTTAACTGTACTGTAGGCTTTATTCAGATTTTATAAATTTTCCACTAAGGTCTTTTTATAGTTTAAGATCCATACCAGGACTTCATGTTATATCTAGGTATTATGTCTCCTTATAGAGATACTTCTTATTTTTCCCTTCTCCCTCATGAACTTCACACTTTTGATGACTACTCATTAGGCATTTTATTGAGTGTCCTTCAATTTGAATTTGTACTATTTTCTTGTGATAGATTCAAATTATAAGTTTTTTGACCAGAGCTATAACAGTGTTATGTCCTTTTCAATGTATCATATCTAGGATACATAAGGTGAAAAGTTTAATGCCAGGGATGTCATTGTTGGTTACGTGGGTAAGGTGGTGTCTGCCAGTTTTCTCCATAATATATACTATTTTTCCTTTTGTAATTAATATCCATCTTTGGGGAGATCCTTTGAGACTATGCAAATATCTATTTTTTTCTCAAACTTATGTCCACCAATTCTTTCATAGTGCTGGAGATTGAACCCAGGGAGCAAAGAGATAAATCCCCAACTCTTTTTTATTTTTTAGCTTTGAGACAGTTTCACTGTTTCCCAGCCTGACTTCAAATCTGTGATTCTTCTGCCTCAACCTTCCAAGTAGCTAGGATCATGAGCATGCATCACCATGTTCAGCTTGTTAATGAATTTTTAATAACAATAGTTCTTGCCTGCAATAATTACTACTATAATGACTTTTCTATTTCTGTCCTTCCTTACATATTTGTTCATTGAAATTTCTGTAAGAAACTTGAGCCCTTTCCATATTTGCTTTGATTATTCATTTACATTAGTATGGATTTATTGTATTCTATGGTTTAGAATACAGTACTGTTGTTTATTTTGTTGATCAAATTCACTTAGTTGTCTTTTTTGATAATGTCAGCTGATTATTCACTCTGCCAAGCCCTGTGTTTATAGCTCTCATTTATATTGTCTGTAATGTTTGATAATTGAAGTAGCCCTGAAGGGAAGATATTGTTATATAGACAATAAAATCTTAGAAGGGACATAACACTTGCTCAAATAGCCAAACCAACAGTAAAACCCAGATTTCCTCTTTCACTTCAGGCTACCAAGTTGTGTGTTTGGAATAAAATTTAGTGATAAAGTAAACATGCTATTGATATTTAAAATTCCACATTCGAATTTTATGAAGTTTAAACAAGTCTCACAGGCTAACAGATCAAAATCGGGCAAGTTATGCACTCTTGCAAGATCAGGTATTAAACTTCCTGTCATGAGATAAGTCTTAGATTAATCTAGAAAAAAATCCTACAAATTAAGATCTCTGAATTGTTTGTTTGTTTGTTTGAGACCAGATCTTGCGTGTAGTTCAGGCTGGCCTTAAATTCACTACATAATCCAGGCTACCCTCTAACGCATGTTAATTATTCTGCCTTAGCCTCCAAAGTGCTAGGATTATAGGCATGTGTCACCACACCTGGCTTACAAATTAAGACATTGTGGCCTGTTCCTTTCAGAATGTAAATCAGTTTGTCAAAACCAAACATGAGACTTGTGAATGTTATGTGTGCATGTCTACGCATTTGGGTATACTTCACATACATAACCTCTTCCTGATTCTAAACTCATGTTTAGTATATTTGTAGCTAATAGGGAAAGACAGTGAAACATAAGGCAATCCCAAATATAAAATGTCTGAGAAATCTGTCTGTAACTATGGTTAAAGGGAACTGAAGCTCAGAAATCTTGCTTCCCGTGAGCAGGGAGACACAACCAGACCTACCCCTGCATGCTCACCACTGCCACTGGAAAGCTTGCCTCCTTTAGGTAACCAGCGCAGGAAGGGAGAAATAGCCAGATATGCCCCATGCACCCACAGGCCACCATTAGAGACTCTTGCTTCCTTCAGATAGCGAGTGCGCACTGGGAGAATAAGATAAACACACCTCTGTGTGCCTGCTTCCATTGGGAAAATCCTGGTACACATGCAGACTGAGAGAAGCAGCCCCATCACACACGCCTGTCCCTCAGGGAAACCTTAGTGTAGCTGCACAGGTCTGGAGAAGCCTGCCCCATCCCCTGATACCTCTCTGTAAAGCTAAGGTCAGGGAGACCCAAGTACCTGGTCCATTCCCCTACACTGCAGAGGGGCAGCCAATATGAGAAGTGCCTGAGACTCCACAACCAACTTATTGGGAGGAACCCAGGAGAATATCAAGACAAAGGAGCAAAATGCAATCTCAGACCTCCAGCCCACACAAAGCAAGGCTGGGAGATACAGTCATGGAAGACTGTATCTAGCTGTGAGGCGCACAGTCTCCAAATTGGCTACCAGAGGCTGTGTCACCAGGCCTGGCCTAAAATAAAGCCTTTGCTCCCCAAATTTTAACTTCTTGCTTCCTTGGATTTTATTCCAGGGTCTGAGCTATCACAATAGGTATCTGTGAAAAAAACAGGTCAACACAAATAAAATAAAAAGACTTTTTACAGAAGTAATAGCAGAAAATTTCCCAAACATGGGGAAAAGATCTGGTATACAGATAAGCGAGGTATATAGAATCCCAACAAGCCATAACCAAATACACCTAGACATATACTAACCAAGACCTCAGAAATTCAGCACAAGAAAAGAATATTAAAAGCTGTTAGAGAAAAAAAATCACCTATAAAGGAAAACCCATCAGAATCATGGCAGACTTGTCAACCCAAACCATCAAGTCAAGAAGAGTTCAGAGTGAGGTGTTTCAAATCTTGAAAGCAAACAACTTCAATCCAGATTGATGCATCCTGCAAAACTATCTTTCAAAATTGATGGAAAAATAAGATAATTCCATGATAAAAAACAACTGAAGGAATTTGTGACCACCAAATGAAACCTACAGAGTATGCTGAAGGATATTCTAGAGAGAGATAAAGATGATCATGTTTCCAGAAATAGCAGCAGAGGAGGATTGCCAAACAGGACAGGCAGTTGAATAAAGGGGAAAAATGGAGGACCAACAGAAGGAGAATAGCATGGCAGAGATGAAGCAATGCATGCCAGTTGTAACCATTGATGTAGACAAATAATAGCCTCAATTCAGCAATAAAAAAGAAGCACAGGGAGAGTGGGTCAAGAAACAGGATCCATCAATATACTGTATACAAGAAACACATTTAACTGGAAAGTAAATTCAGAGACTGAAAATCAAAGGAGAAAAAACAATTGTTTCATGTGATTGGAGACCAGAAAAAAGGATAAGTAACTTGCCCATCAACTGCAGAATGGATAAGAAAGATATGGTATTTTCATACAATGGAAATCTACTCAGCTATAAAGTAGGATAATCTTGAGGCTCTTGTAGGTAAATGGATGCAACTGGAAATCATGTCATGGGTGATATGTTTGGACTCATATGGGTGAACATTGAGTTATCTCCCTAGCATAAAAAACTGAAGTAGTTAGTGGGATCCAAAAAGTACAATAGATATTATAAAAGGCATAGGTGAAGAAACATCTAAATAGAGAAAGTGTTAATTTGACTTCCGGGAGAACATGGCGGACAGATAACAGCAGCTACGGAGGCTCTCTGAAAGACTCGGCTCAGACTTCAGGAATGGTGCGGAGTAAGGAGTCATAAGCAGGTGGAGATATGCTCTGCTGACCCAGGAACGAACTGGGCTGAGAGAAACCAACTTGGAATGCAATCCTGGTGCTAGAACAGGAACAGAGGGGCCTCAGGGTGGAGGCTGGAGCCCGCACCATTGGAAGCCACGATTTGGGTTTCCCGCCGCGCGGCGGCTGCATCTACATTGGCTCGGCAAGGAGAGAGGCGCACGGAAGCTCTGCAGGACGGGCGGAGAGCCGTGCACTGACTTGTGGTGAGGTGAGTGAGAGAAACTGACACTCTACCACAGTTTGACTCCAGCGGAGGACATTCTGGGACTGGACAGACTTGCGGGAGCGGGGCACTGCAGCGACTTCAGCCACGTATCCCCCTCTCAAGCGGGATTGGTGAGAAGTGCCTTGCCTATGTGACGCTGCTGGCGGAGACCCAGTAGACTGGCACAACCCAGATCCCAGAGCCTGAGGGTGGCCTGGAGGGGCGGGCCCCGCATAGGCTGCCTGGTCTGGAATTTCCTGGTATGCTGCGATGGGCAGGAGCACCTAGCCGGCGCAATTTGATCAGGCTGTGGCTGATAGGGAGGGAAGCTGGACCTCCTATATAAGCTTGTATATATAAGGAACAAAGAATATGGGAAGAGGCAGCAACAAGAAAGACTCCTCGGCCCCCAATCCTGAGAAACAGGTAATAGTGGACACCGCACCAATAAACATAAAGCGCCATCTAGAGAGCCTCATAGATCAGTTCAGGAATGAAGTTATCAATGACCTGAAGCTAGAAGTATGCAGAATAGTTAGAGAAATGCTAAGCACCACCCAAGAAAAAACAGATGGTGGAATGGAAGAACAGAAAAAGAGGGGAGAATTGTTTGATGGAGAAAATAGAGAAAGCATAGAATACATGAAGCAGGTTCAAAGGGACTACCAGGAAACTAAAAACTCTATCGAAAACTGGCATAACAGCTTGAAAGAAACTAAGGACAGACTATCTGAACTGGAGGGCAGATTCGTAATATGGGAGAATGAAATGAAAAACTTCTTAAAAGTAACAAAGAAACAAACAGCAATAATACAAAGACAAGAAGATGGTAAGAGGATTCCATAACTTAAGAATTAAAAACATAAAAGAAGAAGTAGGGACACAAACAAATGAACTACAAAAGCTACTCACAGAAATAATCCAGGAGAATTTTCCTAATTTAGCAAAAGGTAAAGATACTCAGATGTATGAGGCATACAGGACCCCAGCCACCTACAACCCTAACAGAGAAACACCCAGGCATATAATAATAAAAATTCCAGAAATTCAATACAAGAACAGAATATTAAAAGCTGTCAGAGACAAGAAACAGACCACTTACAAGGGAGCACCCATCAGAATTACAGCAGATTTCTCTGCACAAACCATCAAATCACGAAGAGCGTGGGGGGAAATAATTCAAGCTTTGAAAGATAATAATCTCCAGCCAAGATTGAGATATCCTGCACAACTGTCCCTGGAAATTGATGGAAAAACAAGGTGCTTCCAGGATAAAGAGGAACTGGGGGAATTTCAAACCACCAATTCAACTCTACAGAGAGTATTGCAGGATATTCTGAAAAAGAAAAATACAAAGAATCCAGAAATAGTGGCGGGGAGGCCACAATGAATGGAGCAGAGAACAAAATGAAGAAGACAAACTGACAACTAATGACAGAAAAAGAGCTCAACAGAAATGAGGCAGAGAAGATTGGATGATAGGAACAGCTATTTTGGAGAAAATGACATCTTAATAGGTAATACTGATTTAGTATCATCTTGTTTTGAAGTCTCATCAAACTTGTTCTTCTGTCTCCAATGGTCTAAACAGGTTGTATCTTATTGGATTTTATTATGTACGATAGTATAAGCAAAAACTTTTAAAGACAAGGGGATTATACAGAACCATTGTTCATTTTCTGTTAGTTGATTCTAAATACCCTGTAATGCTGTCATTCTCTTAAATGATTTTACATTGTTTTGATATATTTAATGTTACAATATACGAAGTTGTACTCAAGGATTTCAAGGAAAGAGACAATATGGTAACTACTTTTATGTCAGGATTATCTTGTGGTGAAACACTATTCTGCTTAAATGGTTATGTTTTGATCTGCACTGTTTTGCTGTTATGCCCTCTTTTATCTCAATCTCCACTCCATTATTTACTTTTTTATTTTTATCCTTTTAATTAAGGGAAAAATAAATAAAAATAGCAGGATATATTATAGCAACCCACTTTGACTTTCCTTTATCTTGATTTAAAGCCCTGTATTGCTCTCACCAGCTTGTTTTTGACTGACGTCCCCTATTCTGCTTTGCTTGATAGTACCAGGTTCGAAAGTTTAGGCAACAGCTGTGAAGATAGTGAAATTCATTATGACGCCCATTCTCGATGACTTTTTTCTACTTTTGAAGACCTACAATGTCTCCAATGTTTTGGTTTTGTCGGTTTTGTTCTTTACTGTTTTGTTCAATTTTATTATAACTGATGATATAGGCAATTCTATTAGAGATAACGGGAGGCATTATGGTAACCATTATTGATCACCTTGTATTATGCTTTTACATTATCTATTATGTCCACCCTTTTGATTTGATTGACTCTGTTCTGTTATGTCACATTTTGTTCTACTCCCTTCCAAAAAAGTAATAAGGACTGTGGGAGTAACAAAACCCAAAATGTGTAATTGTCATTGTACAAAAGAGAGGAAAGGAAAGTGCTCTAAATGATATAACTGCATGTATGTTTAAGTGTATAAGATAGAAAATGATATCACTGAGTTTTATTGGATCATTGAACAGAACTGTTTGCAGTCTCAGTGTTGGAATGTCCACTTTACAAGCTTTAATTTTGTGACTTGAACAATTATTTCTAAGATGACAATATGTAATCCATTAACTAGTGATTTCCTACTGTTTATTTTTTTCTGTAAATCTGTATAACTTGTACCCTTTCTCTGCTTTTTTTTCCTCCTTAAATAAAATTTTAAAAAAAGAAAGTGTTAACCATTGTTAATTTCCTACTATCTTGTTTTGAATTCTTGTTTCATTTTCATAATTTTGTTAGGTTTGGTTTTAGTCTATCTTGTTTTGTTTGATTTTATTGTGTCTGATGATATGGGAAGCTATTTTGGAGGTAATGGAATGTATTACAGTAACCCATGTTGATTTCTTAATTACCTTGTTATGAAGTCCTATTATGCTGTCATTCTTTTGTTTTGATTGGTTTTATGCTGTTTTGTTTTGTTTGATTTTATTACTTTGTGTGTGATGCTATGGATAGCTATTTTGAACAAATCAAGAGACGTTGTGGTAGCCATTATTCTTTTCCTATTTTGTTTCGAAGTCCTGTAATGCTTTCATTCTTTTGTTTTGATTGGTTTTATTCTGTTTTGTTTTGTTTGATTTTATTTTGTGTCATGGTATGGTCAGCTGTTTTGAAGAAAATGAGAGACATTATAGTAGCTATTGTTGACTTCCTGTTATCTTGTCTTGAAGTCCTGTATCACTTGCATTGTTCTGTTCTGATTTGCTTTATTGTGTTTTGTTTTGTTTTGCTTTGTTCTCTTTAAAATAAAATTCTAAAAAATATAAAAAGAAAAAGGGAAATCAAGAAAATTAAAACTATCTGAAATTTCTAATGATATCATAACAGCTGCTAACAAATTGATCGTGTAGGTACCAATCCAGAACAGTTATTCTCAGACAGGCATTTTTACCCTCCAATGGAACATTTGCAGACTCCAGAAATGTATTTGGTTGCCTCAACAGTGGAGGGTAGGGGGTCATTGCTGGTGTCAAACAAGGGCCATGAGTGATGTTTAGCAAGCTTGCCATATGGCTAAGCATTCTATGATAGTACCTACAAGAAAGAAATACCTAACCCAAAATGACAATAATGTTGTGGGTTAAGGAACCTTATTCTAAAAATATTGAAAAGTAAAACATATCAATCATATTTGAAAATTTAAAGTAGATTTATTTAGAATGGGTGAATACAAAATATATACCAAATTATCTCTAGAGAATATTCCCCCCAAAAATGTTTGCAATTGTTGCCTATGATAACTAAATTTTAGGTGGCCACTTGACCAGACCAGAGGGTTCCCAGACAGTTGGTCAAACATTTATTCTATGCATCCTGTAGAGTGTGATATAGTTTGCATCTAAATGTTTCTCCAAAGCCTCATGCACTCATAAGTGGAACTTTTCAGAGGTGGCTGAATCTAGGGTACATGATTCTGGGATCAAAGATGTTATGCTGGGATTGACTTATGGTTTGATGCCAAGATTAAGGCTGTATCCACAGAAGATAAGAGATAAAAAGAGGGCTGTTGCTTGCTGCTTGCTTCTGCCTGCCACGAACTATTTCTACTCTGTGATCCCTTCTGCCATACCACCTTACCTGGGAGCCAGCCAACTATGAACTGAAACTCTACAAACTGTGAGCCAAATAAACTTTTCCTCCTTTAACTTTGAGTGTTGGCTGTTTTTCTTAGAAAACAAGAAATGTAACTAAAATGGAGTGTTTTCAGATGACATTAACATTTAAACTGATGGAGTTGAGGAAAGCAAATTGCCCTCCATACTGTGATTGAGCCTCAGTCCACTGGTTGAAAGTTGAGTGGAACCAAAGTCTGACCCTCCCCCAAGTAAAAGAATTCTCCCACCTGTGCTTTCTAACTGAAACATTAGCTCTCCCTGAGTCCACATCAGCCTGTTGCTCTTCAGACTTCAACTGGGACATTTGCTCTGCAGATTTGGATTTGGCCTATAACATCATGTGAGCTAATTTCTTATAATACATACATACATAAATATAAAATCTATTGATTCTGTATCTCTGAAGAACCATAAATAATATATGTGAAGACCCTGTTAGTTTGGTTTTGTTGTTTTGAGAAAACCTAAGAAATATTGTTCTTATTGATTTATTACAAGAATGACCCTTTTGTAAACATTACCTGTGTAGTACATTACTACCTAGCAATGAAATAAGCATCTATATCACAAACATATCTGATATTGTGTAGGCCAAGCCTGTATACAAATCCAAGTTCTTTATTTAGTAAAACAAATGTTAAATATTGAAAATATATATTGCCTTCTCACACATAGCTAATAAGAGACAGGCTAGCCACCTTCCTTTCATCAGACTAAAATGGCAGGCTGAAAGTTTCCCATGGGTATTTTGTCTTTTTTTCAGTTTTGCAATGGGAGGCCTTTATTCTGTGTTGGAAACTTTCTACCATAAATATTTGCACTTATTTTATATTCTTTTAAACTAGGTACATTTACCAAAGTCATTGTCATCTTTGACATTAAAAAATAATAATAATGTGGCACTGCTTCTCTGCCTACTACTATAAAAAAGAGGAAATTAGAAAAGCACATGTTGCCTAATTGTAAAAATTCTAATTGATACATCCTTAATCTCCAATTTTTTTGAGACAGGGCCTCACTCTGTAATTCAGACTGACCTTAAACTCACTATGTAGCCCAGTTTGACCTCAAACTCATAGCAATCCTCCTGTTTCAGCCTCCTAAATGCTGGGATTACAGGCATGGGCCACCTTGCCTGGGAAGAAATTATTACTAACAGCCAACTGAAAATTTTAGTGTATTTGTAACAAGGGAAAAAACTCCCAACTAACATCAGCTGCAATGTTGAACACCTAATTGTTCATTGGTTATCATTCTTGCACCTCATTTGGGTTACTCCAAAGTGTGCACTTGAGAGAAGTTAGAAGATATTTTATTCTACATCTTATACTAGGATCTTTCTTAGATAACTATTGAAAACTGCTGAAGTTAAACACCTGTGTTATGCAATTCCGTTTACTTCTTCATTATTACAAAGGGCAAAACTAGTTGTAAACTGAGAGCATTTCTCTACCTACTTTATATTCACATTAAGTAACATCCACATTTGGAAAAAAGCTTAACACCCCTAACTGTTTTTTAATCAATTGCCAAGAATTTAAGCAAGTTTCCAAAAATAAATTTGTTCTCCCTCTTTCAGGAAAGGCTTGCCTTGAATTAGTCATTAATAATAGCCCAGAAATAGCCCATAGTGACTACTTTCAAGTATCACCAAATGTTAGTTTTAACATACAGGGACAGTCTTGTAAGCATGGCATTTAGCTCAGCAGGCTTTCTGAACCTTAGGCAGTGGCTGACTGAAGAAAACTCTGCTCCTGGTGCACATCAGGTTTGGTTAAGAAATAGGAATCGAAAGACTGCAACTGCAAAGGAAAGTTTGTGTCATGTTTCATTTAACATTAGCATTACACAGTATTACTATGAATAGAAATGTTCTAAATAACCCAAAAATATATTTGCGTCATCCACAGACCTAAAATGAAGGAACTACCTGATCACCATCTGTCCAGAATGCCAGACAACACTGCCATCAAGCAGCAAAATTTGCCTGCCCACCAGCTATATTTCTCGGCCAAAGTAGTCTTCTCAATTTTTGTTGGCACAGGAATATTCTGCCTTTGCATGGGTGTCATCCTATTATTATCTGCAAAGAACACCAAGAAAATAGAGGTTTGTGTCCACCTTACTTTCCCTCTTCCTCTTCCTCTTTTTTTGTCTTCTTTGTTTTGAAGCAGAGTCTCACTGTAGCTCAGGTTGGCTTCCAGCTCTCCAACTCACTATGGATTTCAGGCGGGCCTCAAGTTTTGTATCCTCCTGCCTCAGCCTCCCAGGTCTAGGATTACCAACACTGTTCAATTTGGGACCATAAGTGGAAATGGTCAATTGGAGAACAAAGTCCCTCAACAGCAAACTAGGTAAGACTGAACATCCCTCTTTCAGTTGGCAGGAACAGACACAAAGTTCTTGAAAAGGGGCTTTATTCATCCTTGTTCCTTCTCAAGGACAGTCACTTTGTAAGCAATTTTGCTCCGCTGAGATGTTTTTTATACAGCAGAGGAATTAGTTAGCAACAAATAAAAATAAGGAGAAGAACAAGAAAAGTCAGTGATGCCAGAGACACACATTGATATAACCACAGAGCCAAAGATTCCGGTCTTTTGATACCCTTATTCAAACTCCTATCCACCCAGCTCTTGGTAGATTCTATTAAAATGACACATTCTGCATAATTCTTTTTAATTATTCTACTTACAGATGAAAGTTTTAGCTCCCACATGTGAGTGAAAATATGAAATATTTGTGTATCTAGCTTATTTCAATTTATACAATGTACTCCAGATCCATCCATTTTGCTGAAAGTAACATGTTCCTGGATAAATAATAGTCTATCATATATATGTGACTTTGTCTTTATTCATCTGTCAGTGGACATCTAGGCTGAGTCTGTATCTTAGCTATTGAGAATAGTGCTGCAGTACACATGAGACTGGACATATCTCTTTGACATGTTGATTTCATTTGTTTTAGATATTATATGCTAGATCTACTGTTAGAGGACACTCCATATTGTTTTCTACAGTGGTTGTATTAATGTAAATTCCCACCAACAGTGTATAATAATTCTTTTTCTCCATATATTCACAAGTATTTGTTACTTCTTGCATTTTTCATAATAGTCATTTTGACTGAAGTAAAATGATATCATACTGTGTTTTTGAACTGTTTCTCTGATGACTGACGAGCATTTTTCGTATACATTTTAGCCATTTATATTTCTCCTTTTGAGAAGAGTTTATTTAGATCATTTGTCCAAATTTAATTATTTTTTGGTGGTGTGAGGTTTTTTTTACAAGTTCGTTACATATTCTGAATATTAATTGTGATGGATTAACTAATGGTCTACTGGTAACACGCAGCTGAACTGAATCAGCATGGTTCTAGGTGTGGAGGGCCCACCAGAGGACTGTAGCCAACAACACAAACAGGAGAACTGAAGAGGAAGATAGTGTGTTGTTAATCCTGGAGAAGCTTGTCATGCTGGTTTTCCTGATAGGAACTTGGCTGTTCTCATTGTCAGAGGAGCTCGGGCCCTTGCTGTTGCTGAGGATGCCTGAGCTCTTTGGAAGGAAGAGCTCTGGTCCTTACTTTTAGCATCTCTTCTTGGCTCCAGCGCAGACCCCTCAGCCTGTTGACACAGATCCTTTATCCCACTGGTACAGACTTTCTAGCTTCCACCACTGACCTTTGGGCCTTCCCAGTGTAGATTCTTGATACAGACTTACATGAGACATTGTCTTAGACTCTAGGTGCCCAGCTGGACTCCTGGACGACAATACTGTGAGCTCTAGGTTTTCAGCTGGGCATTACCATGGGATCCAGGCCCTCAGCTGGATTCTTTGAGTCTTAGTGTATGGACAGATTTCCTGCACTCTTGAATCTGACTCTTTGAGTGAATATTGTCAAATAATGCTATAAATTATGTGTCCTGTATTAAATCTTTTCCCTTGTAAACCTTAAGTACAACATTATTCCTTTGTCAAGATGAATAGTATGTATTCTCTCTAATTCTATAGGTGGTTTCCTAACTATTGATTGTTTCTTTCACTGTGCAAAAACTTTTTAGTTTGTTACGATTCCATATGTCAACATTTTGCTTTCATTGCGTACAGTTTTTGAAGTGTTTCACCTGTGTTTTCATCTAGTAGTTTCATAGTTTCAGACCCAATGTTTAGATCTCTCATCCATTTGGAATGATCTTTGTATAGAGAGAACAGTAAGGGCCAAACTTCATTCTTCTGCACAGGGATATTCAATTTTCTCAGATATTCTTTCTCCAGTGTATGTTTCTGGAGCCTCATCAAAAATCTTTAAATTCATAAATATTGAAAGTATTGCCATATTTTTTGTGTGTAACTTTCTTTAATTAAGACTTTACAGTTTTCAATTTAGAGCTCTTTTATTTCCTCAGATAAATTTATTCCTAGGTTTTTTATCTTTTGTAGCCTTCATGACTTCCTTTTCAGGAAGTTTGTGATTGGTGTATAAAAAAAGATACTGATTTTTTTTGGTACTGGGAATCAAACTCATGATTTTGCTCTTGCCAGGCAAGTGCTTATGCCACTGAGCTAAATCCCCAGCCCTAAAATGATACTTATTTTTGTGTGTTGATTTTTCAGTCTAAAAATTCACTGAATTCACTTCTCTGCTCTAATAAATTTTGGTAGAGTTAATATATTTTTTTCATATCATCTGCAAACAGAAATAACTTGATTTCTTTCAAGAACTGAGTCCTTCCTTTTGCAAATGAACTCCCTCTGAGCTCTGGGAAAAGCATGACCCCAAGACTTTCTGACATCTTAAGGATTCCTATAATCATATAAGTGCCTGTTTCCTCTAAATCAGCTCTGAACAGAGCCAGCATTCCAGACCAAATGATATCTGTTCTAAAGGCAACCACAGAAAGCTGATTTATTTCTGCTCTGCATATGGCTGCTGGCAAACTTATAATAAAGGTAACTTCTTTCAACATTAATTTAACATTCATGAGTTTCAAAAAGTGTCTTAAGATTTCTGTTGGGTATGCAGATGAGGATGATGAGTAAAAATTAATGCGTATCATCAGTGAGCCAGTGATACTGAAGGTTAAATAGTACAACTGTCCCTCAGATCTGCAGGGTATTACTTCCAAGATCTCCTTAAAGATAACAAAATTGGCTGGGTGTGGTGGCCCATGACTGTAATCCCAGCACTTGGGACACTGAGGCAGGAGGATTGCTGTGAGTTCTAAGCCAACCTGGGCTATGAATTGAGTTCAAGGCCAGCCTGAAATGCATAGTTAAACCCTGTTTCAAAAGGACTAAAAATAATAATAATAACTATAATAATAAAGGATACCAAAGTCTCAGACGCTCAAGTGTCTTAAAATGACATATTTGCATACAACTTTACATGTCCTCATATACACTTTAAGAGGACTCTAGAATATTTTTAAGAATATAAATCCTGTGTAAGTAGCTGTTAATCCCTAAATGCAGACCCCATAGACATGGAGGGTCACTTAAAAAAAGCAAGGATGCATGAGGTAAGAGTAGAGAGCTCAGCCACGTCCCTGTCACTTTCCTTGCCGATTGCCTGGGATACAATCAGCACACACTTAATTGCACAGTGTTCTGTTGATTTTCCACTTACATTTTCTGTCTCCTCCTCTGAGCTCCCCAAAGTTTGTCTCCTTAGGAGTTAAATGCCCCCAAACTCTTCTGCATTCTCAAGTGTGATATGCAGCCCTTACCAGACCCCACCATAGTACAGAGGCAAATGGGGGGAACTAAATTTGCCTTGCTGAATGGGATAGCAAAGTAATGCTCTTCTAAAACTGATTTTTATTTCCACTAACAGTGCATCCTTTCTTATTTGCTTCTCAATCAACTCTCTTTCTGATTCTTCTTACTTTGCAATTACCCATTCTCACCAAAAGGCAGCCATTGCTGAGTGGGGTTATCTCATGACCTCACTTCCATTACTGACTCAGCCATTCTGCAAACAACTATTGACAAAATACTTTTGATCTCACAGATAATAAGGATTTTTTAAATAGGTATTTTAAATTAAATTCTATCAAATATGGAAAGTACTAGCAATTTAATTTTACACAAGAAAACCAGAAACCACCCCAGTAGTTTCTCTGTTTGCACATGGAAATGCTTCACTACATCAAGTGATACAACAAAGTATGTAACCTAGGCCAGTGTGACTGACCAAGCTCAGACTCAGTGCAAAAGAGTTCTGGATTGGCCCTTCCTCTTCTCACTCAATAGCTGTTCACACCCTCACATGTAATAAAAATCAAACAAAACAAAACAGAATAAAACCAATTAAACAAAATAATGAAAGCATTATAGGACTTCAAAACAAGATAATAGGAACCCAATCATGATTACCATAATACATTCCATTATGTTCAAAATAGCTGCCCATACCATCAGACACAGTAAAATCTAACAAAACAAGACAGAAAAAAACCAAATCTAACAACATTGTGAAAACCTTATAAGAGTTCAAGACAAGACAATAAGAAATTAACACTGGCTACCACCTTCTCCTCCTAGATATTTCCTCCCCTATATTTTTGTAACATCTATTGTGTTTTTGGATCCCACTAACTACTTCCTTTTTTTTTTTGTTGTACCGAGGATCAAACTCCTGACCGTACACTTGCAAGGCAGGTGCTGCCTATGCCGCTGAGCTAAATCCCAGCCAACTTCTTTTTCTTATGTTAATGTTTAACCACGTGAGTTCAAACTGTTGCATCCATTTATGTACAAGAGCCTCAAGATTATCCTACTTTATAGCAGAGTAGCTTTCATTGTATGAAAATACCGTATCTTTCCTATCCATTCTGTGGTTATAGAGAAAGTTACCCGTACTCTTTTTCTGGCCTCTTGTCACATGAAACAATTGTTTTCTCTACTTTGATTTTCAGTCTATGTATTTCCTTTCAAGTAAAATGTGTTTCTTGTATACAGTATATTGATGGATCTTGTTTCTTGATCCACTCTCCTTGTGTTTCTTTTTATTGCTGAGTTGAGGCCATCTACATTAATGGTTACAGTTGGTATTCACTGGTTCATCTCTGCCATGCTATTCTCCTGCTGTTGGCCCTGCACTTTTTCCCTTCATTCAGCTGCTTGTCCTGTTTGGCAATCTTCCTCCGCTACTATTTCTGGAAACATGATCATCTTTATATCTCTCTAAAATATCCTTCAGCATATTCTGTAGGTTTGTTTGGTAGTCACAAATTCCTTCAGTTGTTCTTTATCATGGAAGTATCATTTTTCCATCAATTTTGAAAGATAGTTTTGCAGGATACATCAATCTGGGTTGGAAGTTGTTTGCTTTCAGGATTTGAAACACTTGACTCCAAACTTTTCTTGACTTGATGGTTTGGGTTGACAAGTCTTCCATGATTCTGATGATTTTTCCTTTATAGGTGAATTTTTTTCTCTAACAGCTTTTAATATTCTTTCTGTTCTTGTGCTGAATTTTTGAGATCTTGATTAGTATGTCTAGGTGCATTTGTTTATGGCTTGTTGAAGTTCTATATACCTTGCTTTTCTGTATACCAGATCCTTTTCCCATGTTTGGGAAGTTTTCTGCTATTACTTCTGTAAATAGCCTTTTAATTTCATTTGTGTTGACCCCTGCTTCTTCATTGATACCTAGCACTCAAATTATTTCTCTTTTCATGACCTTGCAGCTGGTGAATTATTATTTCCTGGTTCCTTGTTATTTTTAAAAGATCTTTCCTTTTACGATCACTAGCTGCAATCCCATCTTAAAGGTCTGAAAGTCTATCTTCAGTCTCTTTCAAATGGTTTTGCCAGCTTTTGATCAACTTTTTAATTTCTTGGATATCTTTTTAAGTCTATCTCATGCATTGTAATTCCTTTTATACTGTTCATTCAAGGTTTCCATCATTTTCCTATGCTCTTTTTTTTAATCTATGTCTTCTTTAGCTATGTTGAGCAATTCTTTCATCATGTTTTTCACTTCTTCTTTTACCTGAGGCATCATCTCTGATTTCTTCCTTTACAGTCTCATGAAGTTGTTTCTTTACTTCGGTTGTTTTCCTCTCAAAGGTTTCAGATGTGTGACTTCCATTTTCTTCTATGACTGTATCTCCCAGCCTTGTTCTGTGTGGGCTGGAGGACTGAGTTTGCCTTTTGCTCTTTTGTCTTGACATTCTTCTGGGCTCCTTCCAACAATCGGGTTGTGGGGTCCCAGGTACTTCCCATGTTGGCTGCCCCTCCACGGTGTAGGGAATGGAACAGGTGTCTGTGTTCCTCTGACGCCAGGTTTACAGGAAGGCATCAGGGCACAGAGAGGGCTTCTTCAGACCTATGCAGCTATACTGGAGCTTCCTTGATGGCCATCAGTGCATGGTGATTGGGCTGCTTCTCACAGCCTGCTTGTCTGCACTGGGACTCTTGTGATGGTGGCAGGCACACAAGGGTGTGTTCGTTTGATTCTCCTGGTGGGTGATGGCTGCCTGAAGGAAGCAAGGGCTTCTAATGGTGGCCTGAGAGTGGGGTGTTCATATAACTCAAGATGAAATCGATAAAGTAGAATGCTTACTTTTACAGTGATCTCACAGCTGGATTGTTTCACAGAATGATGCTGATGAACAAAATGTGAACCCTGGGGTTAATGATTTCACTCAAGTTCAGAGACTGGCCAAACTGAGGCTGCAGTATCCTTTGTCAAAGTTCAGTGTGCTCTCTCTCAATCAGGATACAATTGTTCTTTAATGCTTTCTATAAATCAAGATATAATTTTACAAATAGAAAAGGAATAAATATGTTCAAAATAAGAATTAAAGTCATGCTGCTAAATAGTTTAATAGTAAAAAAGTAGCCTTTTCACTAATTTTTAGTATTTGCACTTTATCTTTAGGCTCAAAACCCTCAGTTTTGGTCAGACTGAAAATTTCTTCTGTCTTTTTTGTTAGAGTTCTCTCCAAATCCACTGGCATCTCATCATAGGGAGGAAACTAATCCTTTTTCTCACAATTACCAGGGAAACCAGAAGCCCACCATGACCTCAGATCCCAGAGGGGAGCATCCTTGTAGGGTAATTGAGCTGCATAGCCCCTGAACTCTGACCTCTGGGCTCTCTTCTTCTTCTTCTTCTTCTTCTTCTTCTTCTTCTTCTTCTTCTTCTCTCTCTCTCTCTCTCTCTCTCTCTCTCTCTCTCTCTCAGACAGAGTCTCACTCTATAGTTCAGGCTGGCCTTCTTCTTCTTTTCTTCTTCTTCTTCTTCTTCTTTTTCTTCTTCTTCTTCTTCTTCTTCTTCTTCTTCTTCTTTTTCTTCTTCTTCTTCTTCTTCTTCTTCTTCTTTTTCTTCTTCTTCTTCTTCTTCTTCTTCTTCTTCTCTCTCTCTCTCTCTCTCTCTCTCTCTCTCTCTCTCTCTCTAAGACAGAGTCTCACTCTGTAGTTCAGGCTGGCCTCGAATGCATGCTGATCCTTCTACCTCAGTGATGCCTCTTGAGTAGTGGAATTATATGTATGCACCACCACACCTGGCTCCTTACTGTTTTCTGACTGTACCTTCATAGAACTCAGTGTCAACCAGAGCTCAAAAAAGTCACTCATTTGGACACACTATCCTTTTTGCATTTTATCTTAGCCAAAAGGCCAAGCAACAATCACAGGACACCTTTTAAAAGAGTTTTTAAATCCATTTTCCACAGAATTTAATTTTAAAAAACAATACTAAATACTAAAGTTATTATACATACATCAATAATGTTATTTGGAAATAATTCTTTTTCTATGTTTGGTCATTTTTAGTAACTTTCTCTGAATGCCAATGTAAAATGATTCATTAGTGTGAATAGTTTCCAAAGAGTAAAATGAAAAAGCAGTGAAGCATCTTCACCATAAATGTGATTAGACTCAGACCACAGCCCAGGTTTCCTGAGTCACTGACGATTACCTTCCCAGCGACACCTCATTACGACAGAAAAATAAGGCTTCATCCCAACAGGTCACATAACTGTGCAACAGAAACACTGAATTCCAAGCCAGTTGCAAAATGTTGCCAGCTCCCCAAATGAAAGCCCTTAGAAAGACCCAGTCCTCCCAAAGAGCCCAGAAAGCTGCCTGGGGGCTGCCTTTCAGTCTCAACCAAGGATCACACCCAATGCAGGTGGAAGGCTTTGATGACTTAAATGGAAGGCATGTACTCAGATAGCTTTTAAATCAGTAATTGTTCTTTTCCTTGCTTGACAGATTAATTACACAAAAATATGTGCAAATTGTGCTGAATTCCGGGAAAATGCCTTTAACTTTGACAAAGAATGCAACTGTTCTATAGCATTTTATCTTCCAGAGAAAATGGAGGTGAGTGAAACTGAAGAGTTCAACTGGCTTTATGCTGATGTATGAATGCTCTATTTAACTATCACGGCAAGTTCACAATTTCTATTGAAATTATCCAAAACAGAAAAATATTAGAAGAAAAGCTGGATGGAAGTGACAAATCTATAAACAGTTGAGTGCTTCCCTGTTAGGTAGGCACCCAACCTACCTGCATAATACCTACCTGTTAAGTCTTATGTTCTTTGTATATTTGTGTCTAAGTTTTAAGATTTCTTTACCTACTCAACTTCAAAACATAACTTTTATAATTAATCAAACAGGTTTTATTTCAAATGTCAGCAGGAGGGGTGTGTAAAGATCATTGAATTTAACACATCATGTTATAACCAGAAAATTAATGTGCTGAGATGTTAAACGATGCGGCCAAAGTCACATAGTAAATTAAAGTTAGGGGTCTTGGGCATGGTGGTGCACTCCTGTAATCCTAGCATTCAGAGGGATGAGGCAGGAGGATTGCTGCAAGTTCAAGACCAGCCTAGGCTACACAGTGAGCCCAAGGCCAGCCTGAACCTGACAGTGAGATCCTGTATCAAAAAGACTAAATAAATAAATATAAGTTAGGATTCTTATGTGGTGGGAACCTCCAGTCATCCTATATACGTGGTTGCCTAATTCTTAAGACACTCCCAGCCTGACTATCAGGCACTGTAAGAAAAGCCAAAGAAATTCTGTGAGACCCCACACCTTACTCTTAAGCTTGTTAAAGTCATGTGTCAGTCTGTCCATCCAGGTCTTCTGAGAAGCAGATGCCAGGACAGAATTGGACATGGCATGAGGTTTATTAGGGGAAAACCTTGGAAAGAAATGTGGAGGGAGCAGGAAGAATTTGGGGAAACTGTTAGACCACAAGACAATGGCAATCCTTGAGAAAAGGAGAAGAAAACAGAATGGGAAGGAGGGGAGGAGCGAAGTTAGGAGAGTTTTTAGGCGGTGATGATGAGTTTGCCTTTGGACCAGCTGAGCTTGAGGTGGAAGCAGATCTTGAGGTGGGATGCTCAGTGAGAAGCTCACCACAAAACATGCTGGGCCCAGATTCATGTCATGTAGAATCATCTGTGAGGGAAGGAGGGACCAGGTCAGGGTGAAGAGGTACAAATTCCAGAGGATAGGACAGGCCATGGAATAACTTTAAGGTGTTGGAGAAAAAATTATTTTTCATTTGATTAAGTCCTGTGGAGGCCATGAAAAGGCTCCTCTCAGCACTGCCACAGGAGTGGGAAAACAGGTGACCCCAGGTGCTGAAGTCACTGTGTGTTGGCACAAAAACTATTCTCTCCAGGCCCCCGCCATAGTGACAGAGCACAGCTGGGACTTGGAGGAAGTCATCTCCTTCCCCCAATGAGTTTCTTTGGGGACTATCAGCTTGCTGGAACTCCTCCTCTCACCACACCCAGCACTGAAGTACAGGAGATGACACTCAGGGCCTCAATCTGCTAAGCAAGCACTCTCCACTGAGCTATACTCCCAGCCCCTGAAACTGTAGGAAACTCTAAGACCATCTTCCCGCTGTTTCCTTCCTTTTCTACCCTTCTTCCCTTCCTTAAGTTTCCTTTTCTACTTTCCCTCTTGAAGGCTCAGAATCCTGCTCTAAAGAAAAATCTTAACGGGTTTAAATTCCCATCTGTCTGTGTCCTTTAGAAATCGTGTGCCATGTTACCAGTCAGTGACTGATATCATTCACTTAGGCGGAGCTCTCTGTGAAAACCCAAATTACGTAGGAGGGTTAGGGGGGCCTTCAGCTCTCCAGACCGCACACAGTACACATGCAGGAACCTAGGAAATCAACACATGCAACACATGCAAGTCCATCTTACACACAGTCAGCCTGCGCAAAGGGCAGTTACCAGACCTCAAGTCTCCTACTACTCCTGGCTGAATCCAAAAGCTCAGGGCACAGAAGTCAACAGAAAGAAACAGGTTTATTTAAAGCCATTCCTGATGAACATGGAAGGACTTCTTTGTCATGTCAGATCTCTTGGGGTTTCTTTCTTTCTTTTTGTAATCTTTCTATTTTCTTTCTTTCTTCTTCTTCTTCTTCTTCTTCTTCTTCTTCTTCTTCTTCTTCTTCTTCTTCTTCTTCTTCTTCTTCTTCTTCTTCTTCTTCTTCTTCTTCTTCTTCTTCTTTTGTATCAGGAATAGAACTCATGACCTCACACTTTCCAGGCAGGCACCATGCCACTGAGCTATATCCCTAGCTTAGGTCCCTCTTTTTAGGCACCTAGAGCTTTATGAGAGAAAAGGGAATACCATGAGAGAATGGGCAGAAGGTACCCACATTCAGCCAGTGTTCCTCTTCAGGACGTGTTTTTTCCTCCCTTCTCCTTCCTCATGGAAATAGAACAGCATCCACATTTTCTTTTTAGACAGAGGCATTACTTTTTATGCAAGTCAGTTCATACAAGCTGGGGAGAAGAGTGACTTTATGGAGGCCTCTGTTTGAAATTTAGGGTAATGTGTGAAAAGAATTGATTATTAAAGGATTAGAGAGGAGATTATGGGGAAGGAATTCTGCAAAGACTTCCCCAGAAAACTACTTGGTGACAGTGCCACTGAGCCTAAAGAGAAGGAAGACCATAAAGTGGATGGTGCCTCCAGGAGTAATCAAAAGAAGATGACTACAGAGGCCTTAGTAAGCTAAATCTGAAACAGAGTCTTTGAAAGAGTTTATTAAAATGCTCCAGTCCATCTTGCCAAGTGCTCCCTGCCTATTTATTTTGTCACTGATATGAATATGTAACTCCGGTTAAATGGAATTCACTTTTGGGCTTCTAATAAAATGTGTGGTAAAGTCCATTCTGTGGATTTCATACCTTCCATGGTCCTGGGTCAACAATGAAGGTTCTCTTTTTGGGTGAGGAAACATGACCATTCTTACTAAGCTTGGCTTATTTACTTTCAAACCAGTGTTCTCTATTGACTACTTGCAGGCTATCTCTTTGTCGAGGCTCAGGATCTCCCCTTTCCAGGGTACAGAGAGATTTCTCTTAAAGTGACCAAGTTCTTGAGCTATTCTTCTCTATACCTGGCCACACTTACCATGACTTTTCTTCACAACTTACCATGAATACCAGATCCCCTTTTCCACATTCCTCCTCTTTAAGGTCCTTGGAAAGGGAAATCAAAAGCCTTCCCAAATGCTCTTAGCATGGGCTTAAAGGATTCCGATATTGCAAAGAATGCTTTTGTATTTCTTGTATTAAATGTGTCACTTAACACCAGAGAGGCACTTAATAGAGCTAGGCTGCAGCCACAGCAATGTCAGCTGAGGGCAGGCGGGCGTGGTGGCGATCCTTGGCAAAATGAAAGTCAAGCTTCCAGTAAAGATTGCGGATAGATAAGAGCAGAATATAGAGGCTCCCTGAGACAGACAGCTCAAATGCCAAAATAACACAGCATGGGGAGTCCTAGACAGAGGGAGATGGATCCTCTTGACCCAGGAAGAAACTAAAGTGAAAAGAACCAGTCAGACATGTAGTCCCAGGGCTACTATTGGGACAGCTAAGATTCTGTGCTCTTGCACATTTGAATTTCCACTGCTTCAACTCACTGGAACTGCAGTTGCACTGAAGTCAGAGATCAGCGAGCCCAATGGAGAACAGAGCTGGCAAGGGACCTGTATCAACCTGCAATGAGTGCCAGGAATGAAACCTTCCACTGGAAAGGGGCACCAACAGGATGACATTTGGGAATCAGGCAGGACTGGCAAGAACAAGGAACAGCAGTGACTTCAGTCAGTTGTTCCCTTCCCAGACAAGATTGGTGGGATATGTTTGGCCTGGGTCAAACCCCTAGCTGAGACCCAATAAATTGTCCCAAACCAATTCCCTATGCACAGCGCACATTAATGCAGTGAAGGCCTCAGCAGGTTGACTGACCCAGAGGGGAGGAGCCAGCATACACTGCCCCTGTTTGCACCTCAGTAACACACTGGAGTGGGCAGGATCACCTGTCCAGGATGCTTCAGAAGAACCATAACCAACAAGGAAAGGGACTGGGACTTCTCTATACATCTGTTTGGAAGAAACCAAAAACATGAGAAGAGGAAGCAATTCGAAAAAGTCCCCAGGCCCCAATCCTAAGAACATTGATCCAGGAGAGGTAAATACAAAAGAGATTGAGGACTGAAAACATGCAATATCAGACACAGCATCAGTGGACATAAAGAGATATGTTTGGGACCTCATAGGTGATTTCAAAGGTGAAATATTTAACTAAGTAAAGCAAGATACAAGTAGATTAATAAAAGAAATGCTAAGCACCTCTCAAGAAGACACAGACAGAAGAATTGAGGAGCACAAAAAAGACAAATGTTTAATGAAGAGTATAAAGAAAACATAGAATACATGAAGCAGGTCCAAAGAGATTACCAGGAAATAAAAACTCCATTGAAAGCTGGCAAAACTTCTTGAAAGAAACTAAGGATAGATTATCCAAACTGGAAGACAAGTTTGCAATGTGGGACCATGAAAGGAAAAATTTCTTGAAAATAACAAGGAAACAGGCAGTAACAATACAAAGGCTAGAAGATAACAAGAGGATCTATAACTTAAGAATAAAGAATGTGAATAAAGAAGCAGGGGAACAAACAGAGGAACTACTAAGGCTATTCACAGAAATAATTAAGGAAAACTTCCCAAACATAGGAAAAGGAAGTGATATTCAGATGTATGAGGCATACAGAACTCCAGCCACCTACAACCAAAACAGAGCTACACCCAGGCATATAATAATCAAGATCCCAGAAATTCAATATAAGAACAGAATATTAAAAACCATCAGAGAAAAGAAACAAATTACCTACAAAGGAAAACCCATCAAAATCACAGCAGACTTCTAAACACAGACCATCAAATGAAGAAGAGCTTGGGGCAAAATTTCCAAGCCCTGAAAGAAAACAACCTCCAGCCCAGATTGATGTACCCTGAAAAACTGTCTCTAGAAATTAATGGAAAAACAAGATG